CCTGATGACATTGGTACCAACAATAAATACCGTCACAGTGCTCCCAATTGTCGCCGCAGTAGAAATTGGTACTGCAACATCGTCCCCGGCCGCAATGAGCCCATTTGCCATCGGGGTATTGGCCGCACTTGTGGTCGGACCGCTCAACCGGTGATTCAGATCGAGCAATCTGCAGCAGCAGAGCTCCAAGTACTATCACTACTTTACACGTAGCAACAGCCACTGCCAACATTCTCCTCTCCCTGCATATCATCATCATCATCATCGCCGTATATCGATATGATGTTTGTTTGATGTAGATCGTACCGTACACATGCATATATATATATAGCAGTGGCGTGGAGTTGGGATATGTGAGTACGTTTCTCTGAGTTTGTTATTTTTTAACAAATCTGCTAATAAGGTATCGTTTGTATATGGCATTGGCATTGGTGGTTACGAAAGAAAGGGCAATTGTTGTTGTGTGTCCATCTTCTACATCATATATAGAGATCGATCGTATCCTGATTTTGGGAATCAGCCGGATCCTTTTGTCATTTAATTTAAACTATGCTAGTGCACGAGGCAACTCTACTTTTTGGTACATGTAAACAAAGATTTCTTCTATAGATAAATGCAAACATGATAAAGACTAAAGAGTATGTGAACTCAGTTTAAGTGGTAAACTAGGTGGCGATGGCGCGCCTTGTCGTGGGCATAGATGGCATATGGACATGTATTATGTGGTCCGTTGTAGTGTTTTGTTAGTATTATTAGTCTAAAATTAATTTTTTGTTAGCAGTTTTAGTAATATTGACTGAGAAATATGGCGACCAACATCCTTTTTTTTTAATTTGGCTAATAAATGGTATTTCCGTATTTACTTAATCCCAAGTAGACCCATTGATTATGGATAGGGTATGAGTGACGTATATATGAGTTTAAAAGTTTGTAAATGGGTTTGCGTAGGGTATGGATATTTACTTACATAACCTAAATGTGTATGAGTTGGGTATGAATATCCATTTATTCGAGGGTGTTTTATTTACACAAACAAAAATTAGACCTATTTATAGAACTTCAAAAGTTTAAGTACCAAAATGTAATACACAAAAATTATAGGTACTAAAAGGTAATGTCCCATCAATATTTTGAGGACTATATGCCAAAAAAATAAATATAGGTTATAAATCTAAATATCTATTATATTTAGGTACTGAACTATAATTTGCATAGTTGAGGCTTAATTTCTTTTATAGTGATGTATTTAAGATGATAATTATTTACTTTTTTATAGAAAATGATAACTATTTATCTAATATGTCTAGATACCTAGCCAAATATTTCATGTATAATTGTTGAATATTCTAGCCCGAGTAAAAAAGAAAAACTCTAGAGAGAAGTAAAAGGAATACAAACTGGAACTCGCTTAAAATTTCATGCCTTCGAATCCCGTAGTAGAGAATGACGACTTTGTAATAAGTAATAACCATATATATTTTCATTTAATTGGACTCGACATTGAACTGAAAAAGTTAGTGGTTCATGGTTCAATTATTAATTCTCTAGAATCTTGGTCAGTCGTGCATATGGACTCGTTCATACTTGTGATTAGTTAGCATAAAAATTATATTATACTAATTAGGGTTGGACGAAGAAGGCAAAGAAAGAAATAAAGAAAGGGTTATGGAAGGCGAGTGAAAAATGAAACGAAGAGTATGTAGATGATGGAAAGGTTTTGACCAATTCTTTTAGTAGGCCGTCAATACAACGTTCAACTCCTTTCACCGTAGCAATTTATTGACACTTGCTTATGTAGATGTCGCATATTTTGTTACATGTAGTTAGTAGAAGTTTGTTTAGTACCCCGTAAATGTACTTTATAAATTCACTTTTGTAATATTTTAGAGTCGTCTCTTTTATCATTTATTTTATGTTTCACATAATGAGCAAATATAAAATGGTCAAATCTTCTCCTACTGTTAAGTGATACAACATATTGTATGGTACAAACTAAATTTATACTTTTATGTTATGGTGGATTGGATTCATGGATTGGTTCAAAATGATTGGTGGATTGGACTCATGAATTCAAGTGAAATCTAAACATTGAGACCAATATGTAAATTTAAAAAATTGTAGGTACGAAAATCTCATAAAATTTAGATACCAAAACATAATTGTTCAATGATTTTACATTAAAATTAAATTTGGGTATTAAAATGTAAAATATACATTATAGTGACTAAGTTATAATTTAGTTAAATTTGGGGTATCAAAATGTAAAATGTAAGAAGAAGTGAGGTTTAATATGTATTAAGAAGAAGTGAGATACTAAGTTATAATATATATATAAATAAGAAGTGAGGTTTAATATATATATAATTATTAGGCAACAGTAACCTCACTTCTTCTTTATATATATTAATGTTTTTATCTTTGTGAGAATAAGCGGAGTTTAAAGCATTTGAAAACACGTAAATTATACTATTTTTATATCCTAGACACAATTTACATCCTTTTTAGTATATTTTTAGTGATTTTTACCTTAGAATTACTTCATATTGTTCCAATCAGCATTTGATAGATCTTATGCATGTTTTTATGTCTTTTGTATAGTTTTACGTGATTTTTCGAGCAAAATATTGTAAACGGCAAATATTAGATTGGACCAGAGGACCAATTGAATGAAGGATAAGAGGTTCAAAAAGCAAGTTAATCAACACAGAACCAGCTTTAGATTAGAAGGGCCAACGGTCGCCTAACCCGTAATTCATCCCAAGAGGAGATGTGCCAAAAAAAATTATTAATTTATTTAGACCGTTAATCAAACTGACGGAAATATGGACGAATGCCCAATTTATAGAGATTAATGGGACCCGAGGTCCTATTCTAACTTAAGTGGTATCCAAGGTATTTTACTGGTTAAAATGATCAAGCCCTAAGATACATCTTCCGTGCAGTAGTTAATTAGTTACTAGTTACTAGTTCGTGAGATCTCTAGCTATCTCATCAAAGCTCTAGTACGCGACAAACAACAGATCGAGAGAAGAGAAAACCATTAATTATTTGGACACGATAATCATTATTGTAGCTAAACTTTCATGGAGGGCTTGTCCACCATTCATATGCCTGTTGTTGTAGGGTAGTCTTATCTTCCTCCTCCTCCCCACTTGCTACAGGCCGCCGCCCCTCTCTCTCTCACGTACGCACCTCCGTTATATAATACCCAATCCAATATCTCTCAATAAAATATCGCCTAAAAACCTTATCTCTAAGCTACACCACCCACCTAAAAAAAAAGGAGGCTGCAATTAATCAATCATCGCCGCCGACGATGCATCACAATACCATGACGATGCTGATGCTGCTGCTGCTAATTGTCAACGGCGCGTGCGGATTCAGCACTGCGGCGGAGCGCCACAACAGCAGCAGCAGCAGCAGCAGCTTGGTGGAAGAAGGAGTAGTGGAGATGCTGGCTGTGAATACCTTGGGGGGCGCCTTCGCTGCGCTGAAGACGAACAACGTACCAGCCACCAAGTGTGGCGGCGAACAAGGTTTTTACTACTGCCTCGACGGCGTCAAACCCCGACAAAACCACTGTGACCATCTCAACCGCGAAGATCGCTGCCACCTACCGTCCTGAATTACCTTTTCACCTCCGCCCGCCATCAACTAATTAATCGTGCTCGCTACCTATATAATTGTTGCCGTTGATGGAAAGTCTTGTCGGTCTATCTTGATTAGGAATTGAGTTCGGATCTTTTTCCCTTTGTCGATTTTCACGATCGTCTGTATATTTGTACTCTACATATTTGACTCGCGCTATATCATGTGGCGGGTCGTTGTAAAATACTAAAATGTATTTCAATTAGTATCAAAGAGATGTAGTGTCATAATTTGAGGTGATTATGGTTAGATTTTTTAAAAAAATGAATCTTTGATTCGCCACTGCTCTGCGACTGGTTGTTACAAAATGTATTTATTTGTTAATGTCGAAGAGATATCGTGTCTTAATTTGAGGTTAATATGTTGAGAGTTAAACAAAAAATGAACCTTTTGATTAAGTATTGTAGGTATTGGACATACTGCAATAATTTCGATTGAATATTTGAGTTAATTAGTTACATGGATCCAGTGAGGTACTTGTACCTATTTGCAATACTTCATATTCGATAATGAATATAATTATGAAAGGAAAATCGATGTACTTTCAAGGAAATAGTAGCTTTTACATGACAATGTGAATCACAAAAGTATAAAATCAAAGTGAATTCGATGAACAACCAGTGTGCTCGTATATCAAGTTCAAGAATCAAGATGGCTTGGATAGTGGTGGCATACAAATGAGTTTGTTTAGGGTAAATACCCAAGCAACCTATCTTAACATGTCCAAACTAATATTGAAGCTTGGATAGTGGTGGCTTGGATTCATGAATTGGTGAATTAGATTGGTGGATCAAATGTGGATTGATGAATTGGATCAAATGGGTTGGTGGATTGATCTATGAATCCAAATGACATCCAAGTCTTAGACCATTATGTAAAATGTTGAAAAGTTTAGATACTAAAATATCATAAATAAAAAATTTAGGTACCTAAATGTAATTTTCCAATAATTATTTTTGTCAAAAAAATAAAAGTTTAGATAAAAAAAGTAAAATATAAAACTAGTTGATATGAATTGAAATGAAATGAATTGGAATATTTGGATATTTTCAGAATTGAATTTGATACTAATTGCCACCCCTACCTATCATGAGAATAAAACTAGTTTCCATTTCATATTATCCACAGCTAGGTAGGTTGGCTGGTTGTTGCGAAAGTGGCTTCACAATGCTCAAGCCAAGTGCAAATGGAAAGCTAATCACTATTGCTACTCAAAATAGTCGGATCTCCCTCATTCTCATAAATGTCCACGTACAGTTCCTACATCACTTAAACCCCCTGTCACATTCTTCACCATAATTGGAAAGAACACATGCACAGTAACCTCCTTGATTTTACTTTTGTAAGGCAGTCAAAACTTTAATGTTAAAACCGGGAAAAGGCTCCAACTTGCATTTGCCGCCCCAACTTCTATTTCCTCTGTCGCTGGTTGCCTGGTATTCCACATCCAAAAACAGAGTATGGCAAGCCAGATCGGATCTCGTGGCTCCGATTTCGACCGGAAAGCTGCACTGAAGGCCTTCGACGACACAAAAATCGGCGTCAAGGGCCTCGTAGACGCTGGAATCACGACAGTCCCGCCGATATTCCTCCACCCACAACACATCGCAGCTTCCATCAAATCAACTTCAGGGGACGACCCTGTCTCGGAGCTGCCGGCCATCCCGACCGTTGACTTGCAAGGTATCGACGGAGACCCAAATGTACGCCGCCAGGTGATCGTGCAAGTAAGACACGCCTGCCGGAGATGTGGGTTTTTCCAGGTCATCAATCACGGGATACCCACAGCCATTCTGGATAAGACCATCGAAGGAGTGAAGAATTTCCACGAACAAGATGCTCAAGTGAAGAAAGGGTTCTACTCCAGGGACTTCTTCAACAAGACGTTCACCTACCACTCCAATTTCGATTTGTATCAGTCGCCGGCGGCTAACTGGAGGGACACCATAGCTTGTGTCATGGCTCCACGCCCGCCAAACCCTCAACAACTCCCTCAAATCTGCGGGTGCGTTACAAACATTAATTTTTCAATTTGGGAAATTGTCATAAATTTCTAACATCTCATCATCAACTGTCTTCTGTCAATTCGAGTTGTTGTGAGTGGTAGGAATGTAAGACTAATCTTGCGAATCTCTATTCAAAATTTTGTTTTGGATCAGGGAGACGATGGTTGATTACTGGAACGAAGTGATGGGATTGGCAAGGAAGCTGCTTGAATTAGTTTCTGAAGCATTGGGATTAAACTCTGATTACCTTAACAATATAGGTTGCTTGGAAGGATTGCTGCTTCTGGGTCATTACTATCCGGCTTGTCCTGAACCTGATTTGACAATGGGAAGTAGCAGTCATTCCGACAGCAGCTTTCTTACCGTGCTTCTGCAAGACCAAACTGGTGGTCTTCAGGTCCTTTGTGATGATGATCAGTGGGTTGATGTGAAGCCCACAAAAAATGCTCTTGTTATAAATCTGGGAGACTTGTTGCAGGTAAAAAAATCTGGACGCGGCGGTGCTTGATTTGAAGTCTTAGTATAAAACTAACTGGTTTTCATACTCAAATTCTTTTGGCAATGAACATGCAGTTGGTCTCTAATGAGGAATTCAAAAGCTCTCAGCACAGAGTAGTTGCCAAATCAATTGGCCCCAGGGTTTCAGTGGCCTGTTTCTTGAGACCGCAGCCGCTTCCTGAGAAATCCTCTAGAGTTTATGGCCCGCTTAAGGAGCTGATTTCGGACGGGAATCCACCGGTTTTCAGGGGAACTACCATAAAGGAATTCCTCGAACATTATTATGCAAAAGGGCTTAATGGGATCTCTGCCCTGGAGCATTTCAGACTCTGAGTTCGAGGAAGAAGGCGAATGCAGTTACAGGATGAGCATCCAATGAACAATCATGTGAATGTTATAGAAGAATACATCTCTCTATCAGTTCCACAACGGGATGTTTGGGTATAGATGAAGATCTCTATTTGTAAATTGTGAAGTTCTCCGCTCTCTATGGCCTCTGATTGTCCGAGTAAATTGTTTGGGTAGGAAAAATAAAGGCATAGTAAACTTTGTATATCGTTCGATGGATCCTGAATTGTCAGCTTGCAAATTATGGAACTGAGGACTGAATTACACAAATATTATGCATGTTCAACCTAGTACTTTTTTTGCTAGGTGTCTGGAACGAGTCCATCAGAGGGAGTTCGCCGGAGGAATTGTGCCGGCGGAAGGCAAAGAGGCTGTTGGAAAAGGAGAATCAGAGATAGGGAAAAGGGAAAGTAGGGATAGGAAAATGTAACTATCAATGAGAGCGGTTACGGTGTTTACTATTTTAGTAGTAAATCCGTGGTTACTAAAGATAAATTGGGTATGAAAAAATAAATTAGATTAATTAATTAATTTTAATAAATTAAATTTTAGTTAGTTACAAAAATCTATTAATTATAATTGTTTCTCTTTCTCTCATTTCTGTAATCTTCAGCCAAATCTCTTTTCCATATTTTTCTCAATTTTTCTGCAAAAGAAAAAACACGAAATCACTACCAATCCATTAGACAACCACTACCATTTTGAAAAACATTAATATCATTGCAGAAATAAATCTATATCATTACACGAAAACTACCAATATAAACAATCTATATCATTACAAAATTCAAACAAATACCAAAACAACCAATACCACTACTAATGTGAAATCAAAACAATACCATTGCATAAATAAATCAATCCAAACACTATCAAAACAAATACAGATAAACTACCAAAGCATAATGCAAACACTACCAAACCAAATGCAGATAACTACCAAAATATAATGCTCCATCTAACCAACACAAATGCAGGTAACTACCAAAAAGTAATGCACACACTACCAAAGAAAATGCAGGTAACCACCAAAGCATAATGCAAACAGTACCAAAATAAAATGCAAGATAGCTACCAAAGCAAATCCTCTACCATGCAAACACTACTAGTCTAGATTACCTGCAGAAAAATAAATACGTACCTCTGTGCTTCTTCACCAAGATACAAAGACTTGGTAGTTGGGCTTTTATAGGATGACCGGCGGCAGAAGAGGTTCACCGTGTGAGAAGTTAGGTAGGTCTACCGGCGACCAGGCTGGCCTCCGCCTCATGCCGGCCGATGAGGCTCGTTGCCCTTATGAGAGAGAGAGGCGGGTGTGGACCGAAGGTGAGAGGGGAACGGTGGTTGAGCGAGGATGGGAGTAGGGTTTGCGTATAATATATAAAAATTTACTTTTTAAAAGGTAGTAATCAGGCGTGATATATTTTTTGTTTTCAAAATTATCCTTAATCTAATCTCTACCGTCAATTTTAAAATAGGGTGAAATTAAAGTAATGAATTGTGTAGATTATGATAGCCACCAAATTGAGTAACCACGCTAACGCATTCCACTATCAATTACTTTTATTCATTAAGATAAATCATTATGACATACAAATTCGATTAGTTCTCTTCTCCAATTCAACTAACTGACTCTTTAATTTAAGTTATTTTATCGAGTTGACTTTTCTTTAACGAGTTATTCAATAGTGTATTAAAATATTTGAAATCAAGATTCGTAAATTTAAAATTTCACGTTACATTTACCCAAACAAACTTGTGTAATAGAGATTAGAGACACAGAGTTTACTTTTCACATAAAATTTCACCAACAGTTAACAAAGTGTTTACTGTTTGGTGTGTTGTGTGCCTTGTGTCAAGTGTGTACGCATCAACACCGTTTGTTAAAAAAAAAAAAAATTAGTCAGACCATTTGGTACCAAATGAATTAAGAATTCATTTCATTTTAAAATGAATTACCATGTAGATCATTGTCAAATGAAATCTTGTGTTTGGTATGTCATATTCAAATCCTTAGAAATAAAACGAATTGTCGTGCAGAATTCATTGTCAAATGAATTTCTGTGTTTGGTATGTCATAGGTATAAGTAATTTAGTTAATGAAAGAGGATAATTATATCATTCTATTATAATTAGTAAATACTTGTGGAATTCATTTGGAAATTCCATCTCAATTCCTCGCAATTGCTATAACTAGTTTCAATTCCATAGAATTCAAAATTTAGAATTGAAAATGAATTCTTTCAAGGCAAAATACACTTGTATAGCCAAAACTTTGACGGTTTTGCCAAATGTAGCCACTTTTGGCGAAATACCAAAAATAGCCAATTCGGTCCAATTCTTTGACGGTGTCATCTAATATGCTGACTAGACTAACGGAAAGGCTGACGTGGCAACATTTCGTAAATAACAATGCCACATGAATTTAACTTTAAAATATAAAATAAAATGAATATGAATATGAAAAGTCTCCCTATCTCCCTCATCTTCTCCTATCCCATTATCCCTGTACAATTAATCGAGAATCCCCCATTCACTGCCGGCATAAAAACTCCTCGTGAACTGAATCCCTCTTCCTTCGACTCCTTCCCTTCGAATTGATTCCCATATCCTTCATGCGAAGAAGAACCCCAATCGCAGAATCGGGTAGACGAAGAAGAACCCAAACCCAGAAACCTACAACCCATAATTTGGCAATGATGGCGGCGGACCTTCGTCAATCGTCCCGATCTAGGTTTGTTGTTGGCATCGGGAGAGAAGCGAGCTCCTGAAATAAGGTTCGCTGCCTCTCCTCCACCGAAGTACCTCTTCCCTGCAATAATTTTCACCATGAGATTCATCGTCATCTCGAGGAGGCTCGATTTCAAATCGACGCCTGCGGCTCTCTGGTTAGTGGGGTGGCGGTGGCAATAGCAGAGCATGAACTAGTTTCGTTGACGCAGATGGAGGAGAAGAGTTGGAGGCGAAATGCGAAGAAAATCTCTTGGGGCGAAATCTTGTGGAGGTTACGCCAGAGATTGCTAGCGAGGCATTCCTTGGCGGTGAAAGGGGACGGGAAGATAGTTGAACAGAGTTGGGGATTTCGATGGACAGTTCTCAGTTCTGTGAATCTTAGGGATTCACCGACAAAAATCAGGTTGATCAAAATTGGGGATTTCGAGGTCGGCGCCGGAATCGGCCAGGGAAGGAGTTGAATGAGATGAGCCAAGATCTGGTATATCATACCTTCAAATGGTGGTGGTTTGGGCAGAGAAAATAAGGTTATGGGATATTGTATCTCTGTTGCTCGGCGATGGAAGGGGTTTGGGGAGAGACAGAGGAAGACGAACAGATGGAGCGTGCGAAGATGAATTTTTTACTTGCGCGTGGACCAAATGCCCGCCTCCGCGGCGACAAGACCCAGCGGGGCTGAACACGGCAGGGCTGGCGACGACGACAGTCTCGCCATCGATCTCCTTGCGGTGGAAGTTGCGGGTGGCGCTCGCAGGCCGCGCATTTTAGGTTAGATCTGTTGTCGCTGCGGTGGTGATCTAGGGTTTGGGAGTAGGCGAGGAAAGCTGATGAGTTGCCATTGTTATTCTCGCAAGATTAGGGGGCGGGGAGCAAGGGTCATAGATCGGCCATCGCCGGCCAGATTGTCACCATCGTTGCCGCTGGTGCCAACGCATGAGAAGTGAGTGGTGGGAGTGGAGAGAGGATGAGAAAATAATTTATAATTTATATTTATTTTTAAGGTGACTACTTCCGCGCACTCACAAAAATGTGTGCGTTCAATGCACCCAACTCAAAAACTAGTCTTAATGAGTTGAATTTTGGATTTTAATTTGTAGAATTAGTGTAATATGATTATATAACATATGATAACAACTAATTAGTGGATTACCCTAAGCCCTAGACCTCCAATTTTGAGTTCTACCCCTAAACCCCAAACTGTAAACCCTAACCCTAACCCTAGACCTTTAAACTATAAATCCTTCAAATTAAAGTAAATCTTTAATGGTTTTTGTGCAAATTCATGTGCGTTATTGTTCATTACATCATAAGTGATGATTGACATCATTTTGACATAAATCGCATGTTTAAAATGACGGTTATGAAGCGAGTGCACTGAATGCACCCAAAAAAGTGAGTGCACCGAAAACTTCACCTTATTTTTAAATTAAAATATGACATGGCATATGCGTGGCAAGTGTTGTTGAATTGTCCGGTGAGTTGACAGCCATGTAAGCGTTTTGTTAATTTGACTAACCGTGTCACTGACGTCGTTAAATTATGTAACGAAAATGGTTATATATGTCATCAAACTTTCAAAATTTTGGTTATTATTGGTATTTCCTAAAAAATGGTTATTATTGTCACAAACGTCAAAGTTTTGGCTAGGGGTGTCGATTCGGGTCGGGTTCGGTTACCCAAACCGAAACTCGAAAAAACCCGAACCTGATAAGGACTTGCGGGTTCGGTTACCCGAAACCCGAAAATTCCTTATCGGGTTTGGGTTCGGTTAAAGCAAAACCGAAACCCGAAAACTTAAAAATACGGGCTGAGTTCTATTCATTGGAGATTTTTATCCGGATCCCAAAAAACCGATAAGCAAAACCGAACCCCAAACTGAAAAACCCGAAACCCGAAACGAACCCGAACCCGAAAAATCGAAAATGTATATAATCGGGTCGATTTCGGGTAAACCCGAAAAATCGAATGGACACCCCTAGTTTTGGCTACACAAATGAATATTGCATTCTTTTAAATACCAAATATAAAAATATTTCACAAAACTTATGAAATTCATTTACAAAACAATATGTGAGCGTAAAAAAAAAAAATGAAAAATGGAACGTGCTGGATTCATTTCATCATCCATCTATGCACTATGCAGTCGCTTGTCGCATGGCGGTGGCAGTGAGGGGGCTCAATTGGTGGACGGGAAGGAATCAGTTCAGAAAGGGACAACCGAAAAATCCCAAAAAAGTACCGAAGAAAAGTCGGGCCGTCGGAGATTCTCCTCGGAAGTAGCGAAGCTGCGAAAGGAAGCGACTTTTTCCACCATCGTCTCCGCTACACGAAACAACGGGAGCACTGAGCAGCTAGAATCCACCGTCCGCCGCCGCCTGCCGAGGGGATGCGGAGAGAAAGATCGTCGATTCAGCCGCCATCACCTTCGATGTCCAAGAATCCTATGGTCGCTCGTTAGTTGACATCCTCCGTTGTTGAGAGAATCATAACAAACAGGGAGTAGGTCAAACATCGAAGAAGGCTTGCAGCAGGGATTAGATTGGAGGGAAAAAAAGATTTCAATGGGGTGCTTTCACTCCAAAACCTTCCTGTCTCCCGATAGTAAGCAGCAGAAACCGCTTCCACTTCCAGAAGACCCGAAGCAACTCGCTACTAATCCCGACCCACCCATCCCCGGTGATCAACTTGACATCCCACTATTCCGTGAGTTCCCTCTCAATGAGCTTCGTGCTGCCGCCAATGGGTTCAGCTCCGCATTCATCGTCTCTGAGAGCGGTGAAAAGGCTCCCAATGTTGTGTATCGAGGCAAGCTCAAAGACAATCGCCTTGTTGCAATCAAGCGCTTCTCCAACCTTTCCTGGCCAGATCCCCAGCAGTTCCTGGTAATGAACACGAATCATGGTTTTCAATCCCTTTACTTGTTTTTGCCCCTTTTTATCTCTCTGCACTTACTGAAGTCTTCGTAGCTGAAAAATGTAACAGAGTGAAGCTTCTATGGTTGGGAAAGTACGGCATAAGAGATTGGTTAACTTAATTGGGTGTTGTGCTGAGGGTGATGAACGTTTACTGGTTGCTGAGTACATGCCTAATGATACCCTTTCCAAGCACCTCTTCCATTGTATGTATACTGAGCTTAACATCGATGAGGATTCGACAACCATGGGCTTGCTTTTCTCTGCCCCTTTTTTCTATCTGTTTCAACTCACAGCTCTAACCCGTTGTTCTCTTTTTGTTCTTTTCCCTGCACCCTTTTGCTTTAGGGGAAAAACAGCCATTGCCCTGGGAAATGCGTGTTAGAATTGCCTACTACATTGCTCAAGTGCTGGATCATTGTGATACTCAGGACCGCAAAATCTACCACGATTTGAATGCCTATAGAGTTCTTTTTGATGAGGTACTCGCTATATTCTTTGCAAGCCTTGCCATAACAGTGATGTTTTCTGCTGCTGCTTTGGAGATTCTGGCAATTCTACTTCAAAGTTGCCCACTTTTCTTGTCCATCCGTGCATCTCTCTGTGCTTCTTTATGTTGCCTGTTTGTTTTTCTAACCTGGAGTATGCAGATTACCTAGTGTTAAAGTTTGATCTGGTATGACCCACCTGCTCTTGTGGTGCATTTTGAAACTTCCTTATAACATTGCAGGAAGGTGATCCTCGGTTGTCTAGTTTTGGCTTCATGAAAAATAGCAGAGATGGGAAGAGTTACAGCACAAACTTGGCCTATACCCCACCTGAATTTTTGAGGACAGGTAGAAACGATACTGAGTTGAAGAGGCAATATATTTCAATTATAAGCTTTGGTCACTCGTACGTTCTCTTAGTGCTAAGTCATTCGTCAGTCAGTATCACCTTCTACTACGCCTGCCCTGCTATCAGTTACTGCAAGCATTTATAAAGATGCAAGGGCAGACAGCAGTTTGAGGCTCCCCAAGCTTTTCTCCGTCATTCACTTTCGTGTCTTGAATTTCTTTTCAGGTTTCACTAGACTTTATTTACCTATAAAACTCAATGATTACTGCTTTTACTGAGGATGTTTCTTAGCGAGTCTGAAGAATCCGTTTAAGAATTGTGTTTATCCTTTAAGGCATTAATGACTGAGGAAGTGAAACAAATGCCTAACTCTAGTTGATCTTTTTGGTCGTTCTTTGTTCCACCTCATCTACTTTCATCTACTCTAAGTGCAAATATTTTCCTGAGACTTCCTGGTTCAGGCGTACACTGAGGATTTTTTGGGTGAATTTCAATGGAGAAAACAGTATATGCATTGAAGTGTGTTGATGTGTCAACTATTTATCTTAGCCAACAGTAAGGAAACCGAATTAAAGAATGGTCCCGTATAGTAAATCTTTAAGATCTATAAACATCTAGTCTCAGAATACTCTTGTCCGCTCTATGAAGAGAGAAATTGGCTCATAAAAGAGCAACCTTATTGTTTTAAATCTATTACAGAGCTGCAATTATAATTGGATAGCGAAATTTTTTCTATTATATGATGACAAAATTCTCAACTTATCAAGTTGGAATGGCTAGCAGATGTTTGAAATCACTTAGAAAATGACATTTTGCTAAGTGGAAGACTAGAAGTTTAGTTTTTCTATACGGGTGCCTATATAAGTAAATCTGTGAAGTGATTCCGTTCATGTTTAAAGCTAAAAAATTTAAGTTGTATGAGAGAGATGGGGCCCTCTATCTTAGACGGTACAAAGTAGCTTGTTTTTCTGGTTTAAATGCATGCTAAGCTTTATCCCTTATCAATTGATAGACACAAAGTTATCTGAGAATCATCACTGACCACTTGTAGCACTTTACTGGTTGGTTGCGTCATGTAGAAGAAAACATGATATTGGCTGCTTGATTTATTTGTATAATATGGATGTTGAATTGCTGCAGGTAGGGTCATCCCTGAAAGTGTAATATACAGCTTCGGAACTGTTCTGCTGGATCTTTTGAGCGGGAAACATATCCCTCCAAGCCATGTATGAGCTTATTTGCACATAGTAGCTGATATCATCCTTTCATTATAACATTAGAAGCTATTGCAATTTAAAAGTACGACTTTAAACATAGTAGTATTGACCTTGTGGTCCGAGTTGTCTGGGGACTTGAATCATTCGTAAGCACATTTTGAAACGGCCTTGCTTAACATGCATCCTTAATTGCTTGGCTTCAATAGTCTTCTGTTAAATGCAGCACGCTTATTAGTCACACTAGAAGGCTCCCAATAATTTTCAACTGGTGTTTGTTTTTTCAGGCACTGGATTTAATCAGGGGGGAAAATTTGCTGTTGTTGATGGATTCATCCTTGGAGGGACAGTATGCAAATGAAGATGCAGCTGTGTTGGTTGAACTGGCCTCTAAGTGTTTACAGTATGAGGCTAAGGATCGGCCTGCTGTCAAGTACCTTCTTACTGCAGTAGAACCGCTCCAGAAGCAGAAAGAGGTTCAGAGCGTCTTAAGCTTGCCTGGGAATTTACCTATATAGTTATTCTATAACACAAATGCTTATGCATAGATGTTCTTAGCAATTTTATTGGATTGATGTTTCCTAGGTTTCATCTCATTCGCTGATGGGACTATCAAAAACTCCGGTACCACTTCCAACTTTGCTTTCACCACTGGGTAAGGCTTGTGTAAGGATGGATCTCTCAGCAGTGCACGAGGTCTTGCTTAAAACAGGATATAGAGATGAAGAAGGAGCGGAAAATGAGGTTTGTTTCATTGACGCTGTTATTTTATATGGAGAGCTTCAGCTGGAAAGTAAATCCATTTTAAATTAGTGAGTCAATGAATAGGGGGCTGATATTGGAGATGCATGATCTCAATTTGGTGCCTTGTTTATTTATATACGTTGGCAGTACAAATTTCTGTATGATCTAATTTTGTTGGCCTGCTCTTTCGTTTCTCAAAGCTGTCGTTTCAAGAATGGACCCAGCAAGTGCAAGACATGCTGAACACTAAGAAGTTTGGTGATATTGCTTTCAGAGACAAGGATTTTAATACTGCTATCGATAACTACACAAAGGTAGCCTTTTCATTATTTGGTTGCATGGTGAAGACTGAGAATGCAATGATCTCTGATTGTTTGGTTGGTTGGTGATATATATGCCCTTTTCCTATTAATGCAGCTGGTGTCGTTGATGTCGGTTCCTTCAGGAACCGTGTTTGTGAGGCGAGCATTGTCCTACTTAATGGTAGGACAAGCAGAACTCGCGCTGAGAGATGCAATGCAGGCACAAGTCTGCTTGCCCGAGTGGCCAACAGCGTTCTACATGCAAGCGCTCGCTCTGTCAAAGCTCGGAATGGAGAGCGATGCTCAGGACATGCTGAACGATGGAGCCAACTTTGAAGAGAAGAAGCAAAATAGCTGGCGCCATCCGAGTTAAGATCGTGGTTTCGCTAATCGCTACTAGAGGTCTCTGTGCAATGTAGGCGGCAGAAGAGATAGAAGCATGAGCAAGGTGTATTTCCACATGCTTAGGAAAGAAGAGTTCAATCGGTTCATTAGGTCCGACCCCTTGGCAGGGTTTAGAAGTTTCTTTTTTTGGCAGTCTACCCTGGCATAGTGTTAGCTAGCAGCTGGCAGAAGTTATGTTGTTGTTGTTGTCAGTCGTTTGGGTTAGTTTTTCCCGACCACGATTAAGAGTGTTGTACAATCAAGAGATCAGTGTTGAGTAGACATCAAGTAATGAGACGGCAGAGGAAGGTTCGACTGATTAATATGAAATTAGGGACTCCGTAAGGCTTTCTTAGTACTGGAAAGACGAAATAACCAACTAGTATTGGAAGAATTATGAATTTGAAGGACGTTGTCCATTTGATCCATTTAACCTGACAATCTACTATTTATGGAACCCAATTGCATGAATAGGCTGTTAGGCCGTGTTTGAATAGGTGTATTTCAAATTTATTGTTTGGATGCTAATTTGTAATTGTTCATATTTCAAATATTGTAGAATATTTTGTCACATATTACAATTGTGGAAAATTAAATTTTGGCAACAAATTTTACCTTTTTAACAATTTAGTATATAGACTTCAATTTTTTAACGAAGATATCCAAATTTTTGTGGTAAAATTACATATTAGTATCTTTATATTTTTTGTATTCATTTAGTATCTAAACTTTTAAATTTTTACAAACATTTTCAATGTGTTGCTATGATAATTTGAAATCACTGGACGTTGATATGTAATTGAAATTCACAAGTAATACACTATAAATGTATTTACAAATCACTTCATGAATTTTGTACAAATTCAAATACCATATGTAATTGATACCAAGTGATATGATATTTGAAAGTCCAAATCACAAATACCCAATTCAAATCCAAATTCTTTTATCCAAACACCTTACGATTACTTGTCCTTAGCCAAAAGGATTACTTGGATTCGGTCAAATCTGTCTTGTTATATTCAAAGTTAAGCTATATTTATCATTATTGAAAATTGGATGAAAATTGCACATTTATATAAAATTGAAGTTATATTAGAATATTAACCGAAATAACTATAATAAATTACAACTTCACAACTTGACGAAAATAGCTATTTTGTTACTCAGCTGTCAGCTCAAACTTGCGTGGCAATTGACATAGCTACCCCGAGGAATTAACCGTGACAAGGGCGAGGATCGTCATTTCAGTCAAAAGACCTTACTGCTTCTTACGCACAGTAGTTCGTTCAGTCCACCACCACTACCAGTAGAACGTTACGTGCTCTCTCACTTCTGCAGGTTTTACGGCCTCTCACTTTCCATACTCATTGACAATTACCATTTTACCCCGCTCCACCACTCTCCTTTCCTGGTTTCCTACTTCCCACTCACTTAACCCTCTGCTCTCGCCAGCCGCCTCCCACAAACCCCCTTTCTCTCGCTGCCTCGCCACCGGCAACTATGGCGACCACCCTGAACCCACATTCCGCTCTCCCCTTCCTCTTCCTTCTCCTTCTCACCCCCACACTCTCCGCAACCACCGTCAACCCAGATTTAGCCCCATTAATGGAATTCAAAGCCGCTTCCGATCCAACCAACCGCCTCTCCGACTGGAACCCTTCCTCCGCCGACCCCTGCAACTTCACCGGCGTCACCTGCCTCAAATACAGAGTAACCCGACTCGTCCTCGAGAACCTGAACCTCACCACCTCTTCACATCTCCACCTCCGCCCACTCGCTTCCCTGACTCACCTCCGAGTCCTCAGCCTCAAATCCAACTCGCTCGCCGGCCCGCTCCCCGATTCCCTCTCCAATTTGACCTCCCTCAAGCTCCTCTTCCTCTCCCACAACAGATTCTCGGGCGAATTCCCTGTCTCCCTCCTCTCCCTCTCCCGCCTCTACCGCCTGGATCTCGCCCACAACAACTTCTCCGGCGCAATCCCCGCGGGCCCCACCTCGCTCAGCCGTTTGACCCACCTGTTGACTCTCCGCCTCGAGGACAACAATTTCACCGGCTCCATCTCTTCGTTAGTCCTGCCGCCGTCGCTCCACGATTTCAACGTCTCCGGTAACCGCCTCTCCGGCGGGATCCCCAAATCGATGTCCGGCTTCCCTACCTCCGCTTTCTCCCGCAACAACGCTCTCTGCGGGGAACCGTTGGCTCAACCCTGCAAATCCGGGTCGCTGGACCCCACAATCCCAGGATCCGGCGGAGCAATTTCGTCTCCGGGAAGCAGTGGTAGCAAGCCGACGGAGGTTGTGGCGTCGTCGCCAAGCTCGCTGCCGACGGCGGCGGCGAAGGAAGCGGGAAAGCCGACGACGACGAACACGACGTCGAAGATAGGTCCAGCGGCAGTAATCGCGATCATCCTCGGCGACCTTCTGGTCCTGGCGGTGGTCTCCCTCCTCCTCTACTGCTACTTCTGGCGCAACTACGCCGCCAAGATGAAGCTCCGGAAAGGAGGCGGAGGCGGACCAGGAGGAAAGCTTTCTACGACGGCGGAGACGGAGAAGATCGTGTACTCGTCGAGCCCGTACCCGAACCCGAATCCGACCGGGTCGGCCCACGCGGGCGGCGGGCCCCGGATGATGATGGTGTTCTTCGAAGGAGCCAAGAGGTTCGAGCTGGAGGATCTGCTGAGGGCGTCGGCGGAGATGCTGGGGAAGGGCGCGTTCGGGACGGCGTACAAGGCCGTGCTCGACGACGGCAATGTGGTGGCGGTGAAGCGGCTCAAGGACGCCAATCTCGTCGGCGGCGGGAGCGCCGCCGCCAAGTTCGAGCAGCAGATGGAGGTGCTGGGGAGGCTCCGGCACCCCAATTTGGTGAGCCTGAGAGCGTACTACTTCGCCAGGGAGGAGAAGCTCCTCGTCTACGACTACATGACCAACGGCAGCCTCTTCTGGCTTCTCCACGGTAAACGTTTCTCCTCCTCCCTTTCCCGTTTCGTTTCTGCTGGTGGACCCCAGGGTTGTTGTGATTAGTGGTAATAATAAATTTGAGTAGGAATTTAGGTGTGTCAGATTCTAGTTCTATGCGTTATTCTTGGATGATTAATAATTAGGAGTTTAACGAGATAAACAAGAGGGATTAGAAGGTAAACAGATGGAATCGTGTCTAGAAAAGAACAAAAAGGGGTGGTTAAACACGTGATCTGTGGCAGGAGGGCGAGGGGTAATAATTGTGGGATTATGGGAAAACGGGAATTTCCATTCAATTCAACGTTCTTCTTCTTCTTCTGATAAAAGGTGGTTTGTAAAGAAGAGAATAGAGCTTGCTTTGGCCTTTTTTTTATTCTCTTCTTTTTTCTGTGGGGTAGTCTGTCTGCCCTTCAATTCCAAAGCCCGCTCCTCACTTTCCAGAGGGTATGGTGGTCTGACCGTATAAAGTGAATGAGTTAGCCGCATTTACGCTTACATTTAGTCCAATACCTTCCTTTTAAGGGACCACATGTCCTCTCTATTCTGGTCAGTCATCCCCTTTTCCTCCGTTTAGGGGTTTGCCCAACTTTGGTTCAAATGTCAATTTGACCGGAAACATTGGCCACCTAGGTTGTTATGAGATAATCCGCAGACAATATCGTACTAACGAAACTACCATGTTTCACCACGGTTGAAAAACTAGATAAATGTAATGTGAACTGCATACTTCATAAGATTACATATCTGTTTTATGTTGCTGAAACGGTTTACGAGACTAATGACTAATAGAGACGTACAAACTGGTCCAAGTTGTGATGTGGAGTGGTAACAACCACTCTGTCACCATTCTTTCATCGATCTTCAAGCATATCTGTAAAATTTGACTGGGGAAATTGGTGACCACTTGACAGGTAACCGGGGACCTGGGAGGACGCCGCTGGACTGGACCACAAGGCTCAAGATAGCAGCCGGAGCAGCACGGGGCTTGGCTTTCATCCACTCCTCCTGCAAAGCACTCAAGCTCACCCACGGCAACATCAAGTCCACCAACGTCCTCCTCGACCGCTCCGGCAACGCCCGAGTCTCCGACTTCGGTCTGTCCTCCTTCGCCTCCTCCTCTTCCTCCGCCGCGGCGCCCAGAGCCAACGGGTACCGTGCCCCGGAATCCGGTCCGGATTCCAGGAAGCTGACACAGAAATCCGACGTGTATTCCTTCGGGGTGCTGCTGCTCGAGCTGCTAACTGGGAAGTGTCCATCTCTGGCAGACTGCGGAGTTGGGATGGGAGGTGGGTATGGTGGTGGTGGCGGCGGCGGCGGGGTGGTTGACTTGCCGAGGTGGGTGCAGTCGGTGGTGAGGGAAGAGTGGACGGCGGAGGTGTTCGATTTGGAGCTGATGAGGTACAAGGATATCGAGGAGGAGATGGTGGGCCTGCTGCAGATTGCGATGACGTGTACCTCGCCGGTGCCGGATCAGCGGCCGAAGATGAGCCAGGTGGTGAAGATGATCGAGGAGTTGAGAGGTGGTACCGAGGTTTCTCCTGCTCATGAGGGCTTTGACTCTGTCTCGGATTCGCCTTCGCTGTCGGAGGACACTGCTGGTGGTGGTGCCACCAGCCAGTAGTAAAAAAAGTAGAGGTCAAAACCCACAACTAGCTAGCTAGGCAGTAAAAGACAAGTAACCGATTCGTTGTTTGTTTGGTTGTTATTGTAGTCTTGTGTTTAAGTTTAACCACTGTTATTTACTTCATTGTTGGAACGGGTAACAAGGTACTTTATTGGTTTGGTGGGGTGAATGATGATTGTAGTTATATTTTGGCGGTTTGCCTTCTCGGTAACAATTCTCATTCAAGTGGAAGTTACTGTACTTCATTGATTCCCAATGGTTTTGTATTTATTTGGGCTTAAGCATGAAGCCCTTTTACGCGGCTCTGCCAATAGGCCTTAGAGCTGCCGGCCCAATTCATTGTCAAGAACCAGTTGATCCCAATAACTCGAGTTGTTGGGAGAAGGTTCTGCTGGATCTTATACCACTCTCTAACACGCCCCCTCAAACGAAAGCCAACCCATGGGCTTGAAGTTTGCACAGGCCCACCATACCTTGTGCTTTAATCCACTGTTAATATTGGGGGTCGTGGAGATTCGAACACACGACCACTTGGCCAAACCAGTTGATCCCAATAACTCGAGTTGTTGGGAGAAGGTTCTGCTGGATCTTATACCACTCTCTAAAATTCATCTGGATGTTTAGGGCACATTGTGCAGCATACTACTAGGGATTACAAACGGGTTTGGGTGGGGCCGGTTTTTATGTGAACCATTCTCAAATCACGGTTTGAAAATCGTAACCATCTCTATAACCAAAACTGCATGGGAATGTAATATGTCTTCGCAGTATGCGGTTCTGGGAAAACCCGCCCACACCATCCTCGAGCAATCATGTACATAGTTTTTTTTATATAATCTAAAATTTTTCTTCGATGCCAATGTAAAATGAAATTTATTTAACACATTGTTTATAAAACTTAGAGAAAGTGAACACAATTTGAGGTCTAATAGATAATTATAATGTTTTATGTATATGGATGAACGAAATGTTAAACTAAACGGATCTAGAACATAGTTATGACCATATTCAGTTGGAATCGGTGCGGGTACTTTGATGAGCCCAATATTCAACCAACATCATACAACAGTCACAAACCATTTTTAGATGATCATAAGGAGAAAAATGATAAAATCATCTATAGGTGTAAGTAAATGGTGTTGGTATCTACTACTGGTTACAACATTGGGTTTGGGTGCTCTCCCCTCCAAAATAAGTCCATCAAACCAAATTTCATTCATGAAATGGTTTCTTAAAACTAAACCCACGTGGAAGGCCATGTTATTTTTTACTCTCCAACTAAACTAAGAGAATTGTACATGGATTGACCCATCATTCTCAAACTAGAACACGTGCCCAAGAAAGACAAGAGTTGGTGATTAAGACTAAGTTGCACTTTTCTTCCTTCAATCTTCATGGATATGCAAAATGACATGTCAAAATACCACCCTACTCCCATGCACGAAACACACCATCCATTCCCCCATTCCATGTGTAGAACTTATTAGATGGCAGAGCTAGCATTTTTGTCCCGCAAACCACAATCAAGTACACACACAAGCTAACTCTTCTTTTAGGCCACCCACGTGTCTTCAATGGAGAATGACAATAACTACATCCTTGTCTTACCACCTCCACGTAAACTACTCCTCTCATAAAATGATAAAAGTTATCACTTCCTCTATCCTTCTTCCACATAGACTAACATAAGCTAGTTGTTCTTTCTTTTTACTTACGTGGATTGGTGGAGAGGTTGCCCTCCAAAATACACAATCAATATGCAAATTCCTTCTCTAAGTACGTGGACATGAGCTGGAGTCATTTGATTATCACTATATCAAGCAACCATTCTCATTTGCCAACTTAGTCACACGTATAATAGACAAGCAAGGTAACCCTTTTCAATTGGTTGGTATTGTTCACCCAAACCACCAAAATCTGTTTTCCCCATATCAATACCAATGGGCAAGGATATGGCAGAATTAAATTTCTTGACATGTGCCACAACAACTAATCCATTTCTCCATTTGGCTACACGTGTAAGTGAGAAGAGAGGGATGAGTGGTGTGGCTTGTATTTAATTGGTTAGAATAATTAGTTTGTGAAGAAGGTGATGGCTTTACTCTTATTTTGTTGTTCTCAAACCATGCAGCCATGGCACCTCTTTTGGTTGATTTGGCGATTTATTTTTATATTACTTTTTTATATACGTAACTCACATCAATAGCAGGAGGCGCCTATAAATAAAATGCTCATTTTTGCTTTCTCGACATTTCATTTTGAAGTTGAACTTCTAAATCTCTCTCAAGAGCCAGCTCAATACGCCGCTCCCGGTTACTCTCCTCTCAATACTGACTTGAGCTTCGGAGCAGGTCCCTGCCGACCACCGCCGGCGGGTTCCTCTTTTGCAGGTGTCCATCTCGGAGACTGGTGGCGGACGTTGGTCAGGAAGTCGGCGCTCACCGGACCTCAAACACATTGAAGCAGGCTCCTCGGAGCTTGGCATCAACATACTTAAAATATCAAAATTCTACAAACCCATTAACATCTTGTCAGGTTCGAGAAAAATTAACCACCAAAAAATAATATCGGTTGGATTTTTCCAAACAATATCCATTTGGATTCAGTTGGATACCCACGCGATGGATCACTTTGTCATGCCTACATACTACAATAAAATTTCGTTTAAAATAAATAAATTTCATAAATTTTGAAAATTTTAATTTGAAATGAATATTGATCAATTTGAAATTTTACATAATTCATTTTCAATTTTGAAATTGATGCTAATCATAACAATTGTTAGAATTGAGGTAAAATTTTCAAATGAATTTCGTAACTATTTCACCAATCATTATCAATGACAAAACTACTTCAATTAGCTATTAAAGACTCCTAACATTACAGCAAGTCAGCAACTTTATCTTGAGTTGGGCCATTGCAACTCCTCTAAACTGTTCTCTTCCCTCTTATCTTTAATTTTAGGGTTAATACCTTATTTTGGCCCGAACTATGACCATATAATCAACTTTGACCCGTGGGTTTCAGAAATTAACATCCTGGCCTCAATTATGCAACATATAGACTCAATTGGCCCGAATCAGGCCGAGATTATTGTACTTATCAAAGTGAAGCCCCAATCAGGCCGAGATTGTCACTCAATACTAAAATATAACAAACTTGTTGAAATGGCGAGAGAGAGTGTTATTACATAATGCAAGAGAGAGTTACACGTAAATAACAAAAAGGTAATTGGAAAAAATTAATTTGATTCAACTCTGAATGTGATCCAAACATGATTATGTATTTCAATTGTATTCAGTGATAAAATTTTGACACGACAGTACGACACGCCAAACTCAGCGAATTCAGTTGAAAATAATTCTACACAGGAATCCAATTGGTCTATAAGTATCCTTCTTTCACTTAAAACCCGTGCAATTCAATCTCTACAAACTTCAAGAGAGACTGGAATGAGCAAGGTTATTTGAGATGGCGAAATAGGTTTCAAGTGATTACTATGAATGAGATATAAGACTTTTGTAGTTGACAGAAATGACAAAAACAAGGACTTTCGGATACAAGCTCGAACCGGTCGTGGAACATAATTTCTGCCTGGCAATTGTCGAAATTGGATACCAATTGCAAGCGGGAAAGTTGAAGGAGGAGGAGTGTTTGATTTTGGAGCTTGGTAGTGTTTTGGAGGAGTTTGATGGATGAAATGGAAAAGATGGGAAACATGCAATTTCGTTTTTTGACAAGAGATGAAAAAATGTAGCAGCCCATGTCGTGGCCCATGTGAGGTTGTCATACTCATTGTAATGAAATTGAAACTTAGCTAGAAAAGCCTCCTCTCTTTTTAGCCCAACATTGGTCGGAAGATTGTAATTCCTTTTTTATCAAGTTAAAGCATAAATTTGTAATATGACATGACATGGGTGTTTGAAATTATATTGATGTGGTTATTAATTTGCATATTTGTACACTTGCAACAAATGCAATTGCATATGCAAGTCAAAAAGACAAAAGAAAAATTAGAGATTTTTTTATTTTCTATTCTCTTTTACTTTATTTTCTATAATCTAAAAATAATATTTAATTACATATACAATTTCAAATTAATTGCATTGATGTAGGTAAATGAAAGTGATTTGAGGTGGATTATAAAAAAATTGAGTTGGCAAGAAAGAACACAAATGCAATTGCTTTTGCAATTGCATTGATATGGACGCTCTTACATACTATTGATGAAAAAGTGCAACTCGATCAACTGCTTAGACACAAAACAAAGAGCATACCACTTTCAAATATTTAAGAAATTAATCGAGAAATTAATTTCTTAAATATTTGAAAGTCCATCTACCACTATGCTTTTAGGAATTAGGATTACAAAATCACATAAGAGTATACATGAAAAATGATACTTTATGCTGAAATTATTGTCCAACCATTTTATACCGACAAAACTACCACTTGATTTACGGTTCCATCATAACTCAATATATTCATCCAACTATTAGTTTCTTGTTTGTGAGCTAAATGACTAGTAGTAGAGATGGGATTAGGTGCTAACCCTTATAGGGGTTAGCACCGTGATAACTAGCAAAAAACGCTACTAAAAACAATCAAATCACTACGGATTATTATAAAATCAATACAACATCTAAGCTAAATCACTACTAACTCTTGATTAGGATGGTGCTAACTCTTGTACAATTAGCACCGTAACCGCTACCGTAGTAGTACAATCAATCCAGCAACGAAAAGAGTGTAGTAAATGAATCTTTGGACTGCGCGCATAAAGAAGTGATGAGCAAAGTACCGGCAACTCCATAAGCTGTAGTAACTCGATCTGTTTGAATAACGAATTGGATGGCGACAATGGTTAAGAGAATTTTGGGGGTTGTCCCCTACCGCGAGGAAGAAAGGATTTGAAAAAAATCCGACTTTGGGTGGGATTCGTATCCCTTTTCTAACAGGCTCGCTCACTTGCACTGTCCAGTACGGGTGACAGTCGGTCGGTTTCGATTTAACCGAAAACCGAAAACTCGGTTATTGGTTAAATCGAACCATTACTGGATGGTGCCGACCACCGACTGTGATAGAGACCACAGCTAGCCGACCACCGATTGGGCGGTTATTGGTTTTGGTTCGGTTAGCCGTGGTAACCGGAATGTTGACTGTCGGTTCGGAGGGACGGCGACTCGGCGAGACTCGAGAGGGTTGGGCGGTTGGCGCCTTGGCGCGGGGAAGCGGCGTTGTCGCCGGGGTGCAGGCGAGGGCGCCGGGGAGAGACGATGTCGCAAGGAGGCGAGGGCGTCGGAGAGAAGCGATGTCGCCAGGCTGCAAGCGAGGGCGCCGGGTGGCGACGTCATCGCTGGTTTGAGTTTCTGTCTGCCCGCCGCAAGCTCGAGAGATGGATGGATACGGCGAGAGGCGACAGGAGTTAGGCTGTTAGGGTTAGGGAGGGAGGTCATTTTTGGGGTTGGGTACTGAACGGGTCGTTTTGGAGAGTCACACTATTAATTGTCAATCCATCTCCTCGCCTTATTTACTTTCTCTTAGCTTTGGTGAAATCGTCTAAGACCACTTCCCTAGCTTTTCCTATCTCCTCGCCTGCGCCCACGTCTGCAAATCCTGGAGAATCGCCGCTTATCGCTACCGTCGACGACCGCCACCATGCCGCCCTGGCCTCCTATTATCCCGCAGCTACTCCGACTCCCATGAGTTCTTGCCCCTCACATTCGCCGCCGCCATCGCTCCTCCACCTCCACCCCCTCGCCGCCGCCTCACAATCCGTCGTCGCATCCTAATCCCTCTAGGTTTCGAGTCCTAAGGGTGAGGGATCGGTTAGCCGGTTAACCGTCGGTTTAGGCCGTCGGTTTACCGGTTAACCTATTCCTCTTCCTTTGCCTCCGACAACCGACCGAGAATTTGTGTATCGGTTAACCGGTGCTCGCTTAACCGCCGATTATCGGTTAAAACCGACGGTTAACCGAGCACCGAAAACCGAAATGCAACCCCTACTGTCCAGTGTCCACTGTTCAGCCTCCAAACAAAAGAGAAAACCCTGCACATGGCGACAAACACAAGCATATGGGCAGCTTTCTCCTCAAAAGTGTTTTTTCCCAAATCTATCGGACTCTTCAAATTCTTCCCTCGCCCAACTGTTTTTTCCCTTTTGTTCGTATGCGTTTAATTTAAGTCATTAATCACTAACTTACACTTTTTGTGTATTTGATTACGCGCGGGAACCGCTCTCAATGGCCGCTTGAATTCCCAAGCCAAACACTGACAAACTATAAATGCATTTGCACAGGTTTAGGTATTGCCAGTTAAAATCCTAATTTTATTTAGGAATGTTTTGGTGATTTAGAAGGATAAAAACTTTAATTTTTAAACTTTAATTTGTAGATTTGATTACAATTGTAAGTGAAAAGCGTGATAAACTAGAAATGTACGTAAAAGCGTAAGCTTTGAAAATTTAAAGTGCGATTTGGACTACATTGGCCATATGCATCACTAATTAGCTAACATATTAGTAAATGAACTCTTTCAATGTTTTTTCATCATTAATTTGCTATTTTTATTTTATTTTCGTGCACTAAATAGACAAATTAACCGTGATTTACAGAATGATATTCAATTTTCATGTATGTTTTAAGTGAAAAAAAAACAAAAGTACTTTTACATTAGACATAAGAAGTGACGAAATTAACATTCAGAGTGATGGCGATTATAAATGAAATCATAGTAGCCTCTTCAAAGTGAACTAAGGAATTGGGAGGAGGGAGATTGATAACCTACCATCTTGCCCATTTTCCATGTTGTTTAACAAATTATCCAAATATCACAACTTGAGATCAAATAATGTTTGGGGAGCTATACTCCATCCTAATCAATTATGTGTAGCTCTGCACTAAATGAAAGACACTCTTATGCTTATATCTTATTAGGAGTATCTTACGTATGTCATATAAGTGAATTCCGAGCTAGTTTGACTATGTTATATATGTTTCTTTTTCAAAAGTAACTTAGGTTCGAGGCTTTAAAGAAGCGCTTGGAAAAAAGGCAATTTGATTTGCTTGATATATCATTAAATTTATTTAATCTACTAAGCGATGTAAAATCAAATGTAAAAATTGAAAAACCAAAAAATTACTCCAAATGAATCTATTGGATTTCTTTTAGTAATGAATAAAAAAATTCTAATTTATTTCAGTTACAAAATAATATAAATAAAAAAAATTAAAAAAATAAACAAAATTTCTTACTTTTTATATATCCCATCTCAAAAGTTTTAAATCAGATCTTATATGATGTAAATTTGATAAAAAAAAAATAATTAGTCCAAAATATATAAATTGGATTTGATGTAAAAAAAAATTAGTAAGTAACTGGTGTCATGCATTTCTATATTCATCATCCTTTTCCAAAGACAATCAAATTAATTTAAAGTGATTGAATAATATGAGTAAAACGACAGGAAGGAAAGCAAGGTGAGCATGGCTTGTTCATTCCTCTCTTCTTCTTCTTCTTCACCCCATCATGTATCGCCATTTATAAGACGAATCAAAACCATCCACCTTCCTCTCTTTCTCCGTATTATCGTTGTCGTCGCCATCGTTAATCCCCCATCAGAGTTTTTCATCTCCAAAATTCACCTCTTCGTAATTATCATCTCAATATTCAATCCACGAAATTTCCACCCTATTTAATTAATCCCTCCTTTCCTCCTTCCCCTTTCTCAAGATCCTTCAACACTATTTTCCCCAGGCCACTCTTCCTCCCGATTCCCTTCCCCCTTTGCTTCATCCTCCAATCCTCTCCATATTCCATTCTTTTTTCTCCAACCTTTCCCCAAGCTGGACATTGGCTCTATCTTATTCTAAGATCAGGGCCATCACCACTTTTCACCTTTGAAGCGTGAAAAATTGGTCGACGCAAAGGAGAAGAGAAATGAAGAGTCATCAACAACAGCAACATCATCATCATCATCAGAAAGGGGCGACGTCGTTGTTTCCGAAATGGCACGTAATCAACACCTTCTCCTACTTCTTCCTCTTCGCCTGCGGGGTGGCCGCCGGCGTCTTCCTCAACTCCTACCTCAAAAACGTCTCCTTCGATCTCCACCTCACCAAATTCTCCATCTCCCCTTCCCCGTCACCTCCCACCACCTCCGCCACCCACAACAACACCACCGCCGCCGCCGCCGTCGGCGGTGGCTGTGAGAATCGTCAAGAGAAAATAGTGGTTGAGGTTCCCGTCCCGGTTCTACCTCCTCCTCCTCCGCCAGCTGGCAGGGTGGGGCTGAGCGAGTACCTGAAAGTAGCGGCGGAGGCGATGCACGACATGGAGGAGGAGGAATTGCTGTGGAGGGCGTCGATGGTGGCGAAAGTGAAGGAGTATCCGTTCCCTCGGGTGCCGAAAGTGGCGTTCCTGTTTCTGACCAAAGGCCCGATGCTTATGGCGCCGATGTGGGAGCTCTTCTTCAAAGGGAACCAAGGGCTCTACTCCATCTACATCCATTCCAGCCCTTCCTACGTGGCCTCGCCTGACGAGAGCCCTCTCTTCCGCGCCCGCAGGATCCCCAGCCAGGTAATCAACTCATTTCTACCCTTCTTTTTTTTTTTTTTTACTACACACAAAAATTGAACCTATTTGTAAAACATGAAAAGTTTAGGTACCAAAATGTAAGACAAAAAAAATTTAGGTGCCAAACATAATTTTCCATCGATATTTTGAGGATTTATATGAAAAAAAATTAAATTTAGGTACTAAATCTGCATATCTATTAAGTTTAGGTACCAAATTGTAATTTGCCTTTGGGTATGGATAAAACCCAATCCAACTCACGTAAATGGATATGGTTACAAATCCATCAAACTCTACCCATCTACCATTTATTTAGAATCCATACCCAACCCAATTGAACTGGATAGTAAAATACCCATGAGTATGAGCAAAATTGACATCCCTAGTTCACATCGATATATGAACTTTTTCTTACTGAACGAGTTTATGACCACAACGCGTGATTTAATTACCTTAATCAGATTTAATCGGCGTCAATCAATTAAACCACGCGCATGGTGCAGGTAGTGACGTGGGGGAAGTTCAACATGGTGGAAGCCGAGCGGCGGCTGCTAGCCAACGCGCTCCTCGACGTCGCCAACCAGCGGTTCGTCCTCCTCTCCGAGGCCTGCATCCCGCTCTTCAACTTCTCCACCGTCTACGACTACCTCATCAACTCCAACCAAGTCTACGTCGAGGCCTACGACACCGCCGACGCCCGCACCCGCTACCACCCGGACCTCATGCCCGAGATCACCCTGCCCGACTGGCGGAAGGGGTCCCAGTGGTTCGAGATCGACCGCGACCTCGCCCTCGAGGTCGTGTCCGACAGGAGGTACTTCCCCAAGTTCCAGGGCTTCTGCAGGAACAAGCCCTGCTACGCCGACGAGCACTACCTCCCCACTTACTTCGTCATCGAGCACACGGGAAAGATGTCCAACCGGAGCCTGACCTGGGTGGACTGGTCGGCTGGCGGGATCCATCCAAATCGGTACGTGAGAGGGGAGGTGACGGAGGAGTTCCTGGAGAAGTTGAGGAGTGGGAGTGGGGAGTGTTTGTACAATGGCAAGAAGACGACGACTTGTTTCTTGTTTGCCAGGAAGTTTCTCACTACTTCGTTGGTTAGGTTGTTGAGATATGCGCCTAAAGTCATGCACTTTAATCCCTAGACGATGATGATCGAAGTTGATGTTTGGTTAGGAGGAGAGCATCGACTCTGTTTTCTCGATCGATTCCATGTTTTTTTGCCTGGCCGGGTTTTGTTTGCGTTGTGTTGTAAACTAGGGATGTGTGCTTGTTGTACCCTGATTTAGATGAATCAACGAGTTGAAAGTGAGAATCTAGACGGCCCTTAATTTATATTGGATGATTATTTCAGCAATTCTGTCGTTCGATTTATCGTGATGACATATTGAACTGTCTCTACACTCGTATTTGAACAGTCGCGACTCTACTATCCTCTTGTACACTTCTAAAAACTAGTGGTGTGGAAGTGTACAGTAGCTTCACCCTAGCTAGATGAGAAGCAAAAAAGAAGGAGCACAGACAATTCATGATCATCAGTTATCACATTTCCCTTCTGCCCTGCTGCAGCTCCGTTCCACTTCTTCTGCAACAGCAAATTCTACTTTCTGTGGCTTCCCACTCACACTTCTAACTTCCAAACATTACTTCCCATGTGTTCACTCTCTCCATTTCATCCCTCACACTATTTCTTCTCCTTCATTCCCTTTTTAAAATCCGTTTTTATCTCTCGGCTAGCAAAACAGAAACATGCAGTTACAGAGACTCTAGGGAAAAATGAGGCAATTCAAGGTGACAATATTGGGCAAATACCTTCCAGTGCGACTCAGAAAAGAATCCAGTAGAGGTGGAAGCCTTCATGTAGGAATGGCCACCATAATTATCTGGTTGATCATTGCATCAATTGTTCTGTTTCTTGGGGCTTTCCTACGCACCCATGTAACAGAGTTCTTGTCTTCCTCTTCTTCAATGGAAGAAGTACTTCCTGCTATTTTCTTCTCTCCTCCTACTCCCAGTTGTGCTTCCAGCACCATGAAAACTTCTTCGGCTTCTCCATCAGCTGATCAAGTATGGCATTCAATGAACGACGAGGAGCTACTGTGGCGGGCATCGATGGAGCCACGTATCTCGCAGTATCCTTATAATCGCACCCCAAAGCTGGCATTCATGTTCTTAACCAGGGGAAGCTTGCCACTTGCACCTCTCTGGGAGATGTTTTTCAAAGGGCATGAAGGCTTTTACTCGATTTATCTTCATGTTTCTTCGATAACAGATTTCACACCTCCTCATTCATCATCTGTCTTTTACAATCGCATGATACCAAACAAGGTCAAAACCCACCTTTATAATCTGTTTTCCCCCCTTCTTTTTTCATGCATGTTGCAACTTACAGCTAATTATCTGCAGCCGGTGCAATGGGGAACAGCAACAATGGGGATGCAGAAAGGCGACTACTTGCCAATGCACTTCTGGACTGGTCGAACGAAAGATTCATTCTTCTATCGGATACCTGCATTCCTATATTCAATTTCACCACAATCTACAACTACCTTACTATCGGCTCCTGGAACCAGAGCTTCCTGGGCTCGATCGATGACCCTCACCCTATGGGCAGGGGACGATACAACAAAAGAATGCAGCCAGAGCTGACCCTGGCTGACTGGCGCAAAGGTTCTCAATGGTTTGAAGTCCATCGTAGGGTCGCAGTTCAGATGGTCTCTGACATAAAGTACTACCCTATTCTCACAAAACATTGTAAGCCCCCCACGGTGTTACATGGATGAGCATTACTTCCCGACGCTTGTGACCAAGATCTTGCCGGAGCTAAACACGAACCACAGCATCACATGGGTTGATTGGTCCCGAGCCGGCTCTCATCCCACCATGTTTGTTAGGAAGCAAGTGAGTGAAGGATTCTTAATGAAGATAAGGAACATGACCAATTGTGGGTTTACACATCCGACTAGGAGCACCATTTGTTTTCTCTTTGCTAGAAAGTTTCACACAAGTACCTTAGATTCTTTGTTGAGAATAGCTCCATCTTTGCTTGGTTTCACTGATACTAGTTAATACCAGTAGCCTACCGTGAGCAGATTACTAACCAAATGGATTTCATGGGCCAGCATCATCAAAAAGAACCTTATAGAACCTTTTTCTTTCCTCAGGGTTGAACAAACCACCAACCTTATCTCCATTATCTTGTTCTGACGTTTCACTACTTCTATCCTTCCTTTTCCCAGACCTTGCAGCAACAATCCCTTTCTTCTTATGTTTCTCTAAATTCATTAAATAGTGTCGCTGGTTATACTCATGAAGTCCTTCTTGCATCAACTCACCAAATTTTCCCTTGACAACAACAAGAGGATCCATCTCTTTTAGTTCCGAGCCATTATATGCATCTTTCAGAAGAACTGTGTATATCTGGTACCTGTTGGACACATAGAATATGCCAGGATGCTTTAACAACAGAACATTCAATTTGTCTGGTAAACCAAGCTCTTTTTTGAAGTGCCCCAGCTTAACGATTGACATCTTCTTCCACAAAGACAGCGAGAGCAATTCATGTACTAAACCCACAGTTCGTTTCTCCATCTCCTTAGTGCCTTCCACCAAGCCACTGGCACAAACATAAGGTGAAACATACGGAATGGCATTGAATTCATGAAATCTCTCCCATGACTGAACCCAAGACGAAGGCAGAGAACATGAAAAACAAGGGCTGCAACCTCTCTCCAATGCCGAGGCTTCGACAGCAGAAACTGCAAAATCCGGGTTCCATGATAAAAGTTCGATCTCCATTGAACTCTTTCTCCCAGTGTGGTTGACAAGTCGAAACATGTCCGGGTATCTCGGGAGAATTCTGATTATGTAATCATCTGGAAATCCAAAATTTCTTCTCAGCTCGTTAAGTTTGACAACATTGATCCTCTGGTTAGTGCTCATCATCAACAACTTGGCTAGCCGCTCGACATAAAAGGGCTCCTGTATATCTTTAACAGATTCTTCCTCCTCCACTAATGACAGCATCCTCTTAGTTAATCGACAGTAGTACTCATCATTCTGTAGATAGAAATCGAAACAACAAGGGTATTTCTTCAGCCAATTGACTGCTTTACCTTGAAGATCAAGAGTCCTGAACTTCTTCTGCAGATATTTGACAGAGGCAGCTTGGCCTGGACATCTTAGAATCATGTTCTTTATCCGATTGTTGACAATCCATCTACGGTTTCTAGATAGAGCAGCTTCAAGATCAGGGTCCTTTTTCATAGACCAGAGCGAAAAATTCCGAAGAGGGTAAAGCAAAGGCAAGGAGTTCTGCCTCCTACTACTGCCATTGATTAGCTTCTGAGCAAACATGAGATCAACCAAATGTATATCTAACTCCTTGTATCACCAGAAACTTTCCCCTATGGGCCACTCCTGTTAAAATCCTACAGAACCAGAACAAACATTTTAATCAAACAACAATCACAAGTCTAACAGCTTGAACGTGATTGCATTTCATCACGCAAAATTAGTTCACATTTAAAACCAAACGATGGATTGTCGAATGCAGTGAGATTCATGACTTGCTCAAGAGAATGATAAAGCTTGAGCTGGGTACTTCCGACACCGTTAATACAAGGATTCTCCTGGCTCTCGTTTCAGTAGTTGTTGAAGAAAACTCCACTTTCCAATCACCGCGTCGTCGAAACTAAGGAGGGCGGATGGAATTTGAGAGTCTCCCATGCGGCCATGCCAGGCTCTTGTCTGCAATGGGAAACGCCGGAAGAGTGTTGTTCGACGTGTGACGCCGATCAGTGGCGACGGCCGACGACAAACGCAAATTGGGGTTCCACAAATTTTAGATTCCAGATGTTCGGACCAGGCTGCCGACGGCTTCAATCGCCTTCTTCCCGGAACCAGGGAAACCACAAAGAAAAGTTCAGGGCAGCAGTTGGTTAATCCAAAGAGAGAGCTGCCAGATTGTATTGAATCGAACTTAGGGCTTATATGGCTCTGTTTTCTTTTCCAATGGAAGTAGATTTCGGGTATGAATACAAAAAATATAAAGATACTAATATGTAATTTTACCACAAAAATTTGGATATCTTCGTTAAAAAATTGAAGTCTATATACTAAATTGTTAAAAAGGTAAAATTTGATACCAAAATTTAATTTTCCACAATTGTAATATGTGACAAAATATTCCACAATAGATGAAATATGAACAATTACAAATTAGCATCCAACCAATAAATTTGAAATACACCTATTCAAACACGGGCTAACCGCCTAACACATTCATGCAATTGGGTTCCATAAATAGTAGATTGTCAGGTTAAATGGATCAAATGGACAACGTCCTTCAAATTCATAATTCTTCCAATACTAGTTGGTTATTTCGTCTTTCCAATACTAAGAAAGCCTTACGGAGTCCCTAATTTCATATTAATCAGTCGAACCTTCCTCTGCCGTCTCATTACTTGATGTCTACTCAACACTGATCTCTTGATTGTACAACACTCTTAATCGTGGTCGGGAAAAACCAACCCAAACGACTGACAACAACAACAACATAACTTCTGCCAGCTGCTAGCTAACACTATGCCAGGGTAGACTGCCAAAAAAAGAAACTTCTAAACCCTGCCAAGGGGTCGGACCTAATGAACCGATTGAACTCTTCTTTCCTAAGCATGTGGAAATACACCTTGCTCATGCTTCTATCTCTTCTGCCGCCTACATTGCACAGAGACCTCTAGTAGCGATTAGCGAAACCACGATCTTAACTCGGATGGCGCCAGCTATTTTGCTTCTTCTCTTCAAAGTTGGCTCCATCGTTCAGCATGTCCTGAGCATCGCTCTCCATTCCGAGCTTTGACAGAGCGAGCGCTTGCATGTAAAACGCTGTTGGCCACTCGGGCAAGCAGACTTGTGCCTGCATTGCATCTCTCAGCGCGAGTTCTGCTTGTCCTACCATTAAGTAGGACAATGCTCGCCTCACAAACACGGTTCCTGAAGGAACCGACATCAACGACACCAGCTGCATTAATAGGACAAAGGACATATGTATCACCAACCAAACAATCAGAGATCATTGCATTCTCAGTCTTAACCATGCAATCCGAATAATGAAAAGGCTACCTTTGTGTAGTTATCGATAGCAGTATTAAAATCCTTGTCTCTGAAAGCAATATCACCAAACTTCTTAGTGTTCAGCATGTCTTGCACTTGCTGGGTCCATTCTTGAAACGAAAGCTTTGAGAAACGAAAGAGCAGGCCAACAAAATTAGATCATACAGAAATTTGTACTACCAACGTATATAAATAAACAAGGCACCAAATTGAGATCATACATCTCCAATATCAGCCCCCTATTCATTGACTCACTAATTTAAAATGGATTTACTTTCCAGCTGAAGCTCTCCATATAAAATAACAGCGTTAATGAAACAAACCTCATTTTCCGCTCCTTCTTCATCTCTATATCCTGTTTTAAGCAAGACCTCGTGCACTGCTGAGAGATCCATCCTTACACAAGCCTTACCCAGTGGTGAAAGCAAAGTTGGAAGTGGTACCGGAGTTTTTGATAGTCCCATCAGCGAGTGAGATGAAACCTAGGAAAAATCAATCCAATAAAATTGCTAAGAACATCTATGCACAAGCATTTGTGTTATAGAAGAACTATATAGGTAAATTCCCAGGCAAGCTTAAGACGCTCTGAACCTCTTTCTGCTTCTGGAGTGGTTCTACTGCAGTAAGAAGGTACTTGACAACAGGCCGATCCTTAGCCTCATACTGTAAGCACTTAGAGGCCAGTTCAACCAACACAGCTGCATCTTCATTTGCATACTGTCCCTCCAAGGATGAATCCATTAACAACAGCAAATTTTCCCCCCTGATTAAATCCAGTGCCTGAAGAAACAAACACCAGTTGAAAATTATTGGGAGCCTTCTACTGTGACTAATAAGCGTGCTGCATCTAACAGAAGCCTATTGAAGCCATGCAATTAAGGATGCATGTTAAGCAAGGCCGTTTCAAAAATTTTCTTACGAATGATTCCAGTCCCCAGACAACTCGGACCACAAGGTCAATACTACTATGTTTAAAGTCGTTCATATAAATTGCAATAGCTTCTAATGTTATAATGAAAGGATGATATCAGCTACTATGTGCAAATAAGCTCATACATGGCTTGGAGGGATATGTTTCCCGCTCAAAAGATCCAGCAGAACAGTTCCGAAGCTGTATATTACACTTTCAGGGATGACCCTACCTGCAGCAATTCAACATCCATATTATATAAATAAATCAAGCAGCCAATATCAAGTTTTCTTCTACATGACGCAACCAACCAGTAAAGTTCTATAAGTGGTCAGTGATGATTCTCAGATAACTTTGTGTCTAGCAATTGATAAGGGAAAAAGCTTAGCATGCATTTAAACCAGCAAACAAGCTACTTTGTACCGTCTAAGATAGACGACCCCATCTCTCTCACACAATTTAAAAAATTTAGCTTTAAACATGGACGGAATCACTTCACGGTTTTACTTATATAGGCAGCCGTATAGAAAAACTAAACTTCTAGTCTTCCACTTAGCAAAATGTCATTTTCTAAGTGATTTCAGACATCTGCTAGCCATTCCACTTGATAAGTCCAGAATTTTGACATCATATAATACAAAAATTCTCGCTATCCAATTATAGTTGCAGCTCTGCAATAGATTTAAAACAATAAGGTTGCTCTTTTATGAGCCAATTTCTCTCTTCATAGAGCGGACAAGAGTATTCTGAGACTAGATGTTTATAGATCTTAAAGATTTACTATACGGGACCATTCTTTAATTCGGTTTCCTTATTGTTGGCTAAGATAAATAGTTAACACATCAACACACTTCCATGCATATACTGTTTTCTCCATTGAAATTCACCCATTAATCCTCAGTGTACGCCTGAACCAGGAAGTCTCAGGAATATATTTGCACTTAGAGTAGATGAAAGTAAATGAGGTGGAACAAAGACCAAAAAGATCAACTAAAGTTTGCTGGTTAGGCATTTGTTTCACTTCCTCAGTCATTAATGCCTTAAAGGATAAACACAATTCTTAAACGGATTCTTCAGACTCACTAAGAAACATCCTCAGTAAAAGCAGTTCATCGTATGGATTAGAAAATCATTGAGTTTTATAGGTAAATAAAGTCTAGTGAAACCTGAAAAGAAATTCAAAGAACGAATGTGAATGATGGAGAAAAGCTTGGGGAGTCTCAAACTGCTGTCTGCCCTTGCATCTTTATAAATGCTTGCAGTAACTGATAGCAGGGCAGGGATAGTAGAAGGTGATACTGACTGACGAATGACTTAGCACTAAGAGAACGTACAAGTGACCAAAGCTTATAATTGAAGTATATTGCCTCTTCAACTCAGTATCGTTTCTACCTGTCCTCAAAAATTCAGGTGGGGTATAAGCCAAGTTTGTGCTGTAACTCTTCCCATCTCTGCTATTTTTCATGAAGCCAAAACTAGACAACCGAGGATCACCTTCCTGCAATGTTATAAGGAAGTTTCAAAATCCACCACAAGAGCAGGTGGGTCATACCAGATCAAACTTTAACACTAGGTAATCTGCATATTCCAGGTTAGAAAAACAAACAGGCAACTTAAAGAAGCATAGAGAGATGCACGGATGGACAAGAAAAGTGGGCAACTTTGAAGTAGAATTGCCATAATCTCCAAAGCAGCAGCAGAAAACATCACTGTTATGGCAAGGCTTGCAAAAAATATAGCAAGTACCTCATCAAAAAGAACTCTATAGGCATTCAAATCGTGGTAGATTTTGCGGTCCTGAGTATCACAATGATCCAGCACTTGAGCAATGTAGTAGGCAATTCTGACACGCATTTCCCAGGGCAATGGCTGTTTTTCCCCTAAAGCAAAAGGGTGTAGGGAAAAGAACAAAAAGAGAACAACGGGTTAGAGCTGTGAGTTGAAGTAGATAGATCAAAGGGACAGAGAAAAGCAAGCCCATGGTTCTCGAATCCTCATCAATGTTAAGCTCAGTATACATACAATGGAAGAGGTGCTTGGAAAGGGTATCATTAGGCATGTACTCAGCCACCAGCAAACGTTCATCACCCTCAGCACAACACCCAATTAAGTTAACCAATCTCTTATGCCGTACTTTCCCAACCATAGAAGCTTCACTCTGTTACATTTTTCAGCTACGAAGACTTCAGTAAGTGCAGAGAGATAAAAAGGGGCAAAAACAAGTAAAGGGATTGAAAACCATGATTCGTGTTCATTACCAGGAACTGCTGGGGATCTGGCCAGGAAAGGTTGGAGAAGCGCTTGATTGCAACAAGGCGATTGTCTTTGAGCTTGCCTCGATACACAACATTGGGAGCCTTTTCACCGCTCTCAGAGACGATGAATGCGGAGCTGAACCCATTGGCGGCAGCACGAAGCTCATTGAGAGGGAACTCACGGAATAGTGGGATGTCAAGTTGATCACCGGGGATGGGTGGGTCGGGATTAGTAGCGAGTTGCTTCGGGTCTTCTGGAAGTGGAAGCGGTTTCTGCTGCTTACTATCGGGAGACAGGAAGGTTTTGGAGTGAAAGCACCCCATTGAAATCTTTTTTTCCCTCCAATCTAATCCCTGCTGCAAGCCTTCTTCGATGTTTGACCTACTCCCTGTTTGTTATGATTCTCTCAACAACGGAGGATGTCAACTAACGAGCGACCATAGGATTCTTGGACATCGAAGGTGATGGCGGCTGAATCGACGATCGTTCTCTCCGCATCCCCTCGGCAGGCGGCGGCGGACGGTGGATTCTAGCTGCTCAGTGCTCCCGTTGTTTCGTGTAGCGGAGACGATGGTGGAAAAAGTCGCTTCCTTTCGCAGCTTCGCTACTTCCGAGGAGAATCTCCGACGGCCCGACTTTTCTTCGGTACTTTTTTGGGATTTTTCGGTTGTCCCTTTCTGAACTGATTCCTTCCCGTCCACCAATTGAGCCCCCTCACTGCCACCGCCATGCGACAAGCGACTGCATAGTGCATAGATAGATGATGAAATGAATCCAGCACGTTCCATTTTTCATTTTTTTTTTTTACGCTCACATATTGTTTTGTAAATGAATTTCATAAGTTTTGTGAAATATTTTTATATTTGGTATTTAAAAGAATGCAATATTCATTTGTGTAGCCAAAACTAGGGGTGTCCATTCGATTTTTCGGGTTTACCCGAAATCGACCTGATTATATACATTTTCGATTTTTCGGGTTCGGGTTCGTTTCGGGTTTCGGGTTTTTCAGTTTGGGGTTCGGTTTTGCTTATCGGTTTTTTTGGATCCGGATAAAAATCTCCAATGAATAGAACTCAGCCCGTATTTTTAAGTTTTCGGGTTTCGGTTTTGCTTTAACCGAACCCAAACCCGATAAGGAATTTTCGGGTTTCGGGTAACCGAACCCGCAAGTCCTTATCAGGTTCGGGTTTTTTCGAGTTTCGGTTTGGGTAACCGAACCCGACCCGAATCGACACCCCTAGCCAAAACTTTGACGTTTGTGACAATAATAACCATTTTTTAGGAAATACCAATAATAACCAAAATTTTGAAAGTTTGATGACATATATAACCATTTTCGTTACATAATTTAACGACGTCAGTGACACGGTTAGTCAAATTAACAAAACGCTTACATGGCTGTCAACTCACCGGACAATTCAACAACACTTGCCACGCATATGCCATGTCATATTTTAATTTAAAAATAAGGTGAAGTTTTCGGTGCACTCACTTTTTTGGGTGCATTCAGTGCACTCGCTTCATAACCGTCATTTTAAACATGCGATTTATGTCAAAATGATGTCAATCATCACTTATGATGTAATGAACAATAACGCACATGAATTTGCACAAAAACCATTAAAGATTTACTTTAATTTGAAGGATTTATAGTTTAAAGGTCTAGGGTTAGGGTTAGGGTTTACAGTTTGGGGTTTAGGGGTAGAACTCAAAATTGGAGGTCTAGGGCTTACGGTAATCCACTAATTAGTTGTTATCATATGTTATATAATCATATTACACTAATTCTACAAATTAAAATCCAAAATTCAACTCATTAAGACTAGTTTTTGAGTTGGGTGCATTGAACGCACACATTTTTGTGAGTGCGCCGAAGTAGTCACCTTAAAAATAAATATAAATTATAAATTATTTTCTCATCCTCTCTCCACTCCCACCACTCACTTCTCATGCGTTGGCACCAGCGGCAACGATGGTGACAATCTGGCCGGCGATGGCCGATCTATGACCCTTGCTCCCCGCCCCCTAATCTTGCGAGAATAACAATGGCAACTCATCAGCTTTCCTCGCCTACTCCCAAACCCTAGATCACCACCGCAGCGACAACAGATCTAACCTAAAATGCGCGGCCTGCGAGCGCCACCCGCAACTTCCACCGCAAGGAGATCGATGGCGAGACTGTCGTCGTCGCCAGCCCTGCCGTGTTCAGCCCCGCTGGGTCTTGTCGCCGCGGAGGCGGGCATTTGGTCCACGCGCAAGTAAAAAATTCATCTTCGCACGCTCCATCTGTTCGTCTTCCTCTGTCTCTCCCCAAACCCCTTCCATCGCCGAGCAACAGAGATACAATATCCCATAACCTTATTTTCTCTGCCCAAACCACCACCATTTGAAGGTATGATATACCAGATCTTGGCTCATCTCATTCAACTCCTTCCCTGGCCGATTCCGGCGCCGACCTCGAAATCCCCAATTTTGATCAACCTGATTTTTGTCGGTGAATCCCTAAGATTCACAGAACTGAGAACTGTCCATCGAAATCCCCAACTCTGTTCAACTATCTTCCCGTCCCCTTTCACCGCCAAGGAATGCCTCGCTAGCAATCTCTGGCGTAACCTCCACAAGATTTCGCCCCAAGAGATTTTCTTCGCATTTCGCCTCCAACTCTTCTCCTCCATCTGCGTCAACGAAACTAGTTCATGCTCTGCTATTGCCACCGCCACCCCACTAACCAGAGAGCCGCAGGCGTCGATTTGAAATCGAGCCTCCTCGAGACGACGATGAATCTCATGGTGAAAATTATTGCAGGGAAGAGGTACTTCGGTGGAGGAGAGGCAGCGGACCTTATTTCAGGAGCTCGCTTCTCTCCCGATGCCAACAACAAACCTAGATCGGGACGATTGACGAAGGTCCGCCGCCATCATTGCCAAATTATGGGTTGTAGGTTTCTGGGTTTGGGTTCTTCTTCGTCTACCCGATTCTGCGATTGGGGTTCTTCTTCGCATGAAGGATATGGGAATCAATTCGAAGGGAAGGAGTCGAAGGAAGAGGGATTCAGTTCACGAGGAGTTTTTATGCCGGCAGTGAATGGGGGATTCTCGATTAATTGTACAGGGATAATGGGATAGGAGAAGATGAGGGAGATAGGGAGACTTTTCATATTCATATTCATTTTATTTTATATTTTAAAGTTAAATTCATGTGGCATTGTTATTTACGAAATGTTGCCACGTCAGCCTTTCCGTTAGTCTAGTCAGCATATTAGATGACACCGTCAAAGAATTGGACCGAATTGGCTATTTTTGGTATTTCGCCAAAAGTGGCTACATTTGGCAAAACCGTCAAAGTTTTGGCTATACAAGTGTATTTTGCCTTGAAAGAATTCATTTTCAATTCTAAATTTTGAATTCTATGGAATTGAAACTAGTTATAGCAATTGCGAGGAATTGAGATGGAATTTCCAAATGAATTCCACAAGTATTTACTAATTATAATAGAATGATATAATTATCCTCTTTCATTAACTAAATTACTTATACCTATGACATACCAAACACAGAAATTCATTTGACAATGAATTCTGCACGACAATTCGTTTTATTTCTAAGGATTTGAATATGACATACCAAACACAAGATTTCATTTGACAATGATCTACATGGTAATTCATTTTAAAATGAAATGAATTCTTAATTCATTTGGTACCAAATGGTCTGACTAATTTTTTTTTTTTTTTAACAAACGGTGTTGATGCGTACACACTTGACACAAGGCACACAACACACCAAACAGTAAACACTTTGTTAACTGTTGGTGAAATTTTATGTGAAAAGTAAACTCTGTGTCTCTAATCTCTATTACACAAGTTTGTTTGGGTAAATGTAACGTGAAATTTTAAATTTACGAATCTTGATTTCAAATATTTTAATACACTATTGAATAACTCGTTAAAGAAAAGTCAACTCGATAAAATAACTTAAATTAAAGAGTCAGTTAGTTGAATTGGAGAAGAGAACTAATCGAATTTGTATGTCATAATGATTTATCTTAATGAATAAAAGTAATTGATAGTGGAATGCGTTAGCGTGGTTACTCAATTTGGTGGCTATCATAATCTACACAATTCATTACTTTAATTTCACCCTATTTTAAAATTGACGGTAGAGATTAGATTAAGGATAATTTTGAAAACAAAAAATATATCACGCCTGATTACTACCTTTTAAAAAGTAAATTTTTATATATTATACGCAAACCCTACTCCCATCCTCGCTCAACCACCGTTCCCCTCTCACCTTCGGTCCACACCCGCCTCTCTCTCTCATAAGGGCAACGAGCCTCATCGGCCGGCATGAGGCGGAGGCCAGCCTGGTCGCCGGTAGACCTACCTAACTTCTCACACGGTGAACCTCTTCTGCCGCCGGTCATCCTATAAAAGCCCAACTACCAAGTCTTTGTATCTTGGTGAAGAAGCACAGAGGTACGTATTTATTTTTCTGCAGGTAATCTAGACTAGTAGTGTTTGCATGGTAGAGGATTTGCTTTGGTAGATATCTTGCATTTTTATTTTGGTACTGTTTGCATTATGCTTTGGTGGTTACCTGCATTTTCTTTGGTAGTGTGTGCATTACTTTTTGGTAGTTACCTGCATTTGTGTTGGTTAAATGGAGCATTATATTTTGGTAGTTATCTGCATTTGGTTTGGTAGTGTTTGCATTATGCTTTGGTAGTTTATCTGTATTTGTTTTGATAGTGTTTGGATTGATTTATTTATGCAATGGTATTGTTTTGATTTCACATTAGTAGTGGTATTGGTTGTTTTGGTATTTGTTTGAATTTTGTAATGATATAGATTGTTTATATTGGTAGTTTTCGTGTAATGATATAGATTTATTTCTGCAATGATATTAATGTTTTTCAAAATGGTAGTGGTTGTCTAATGGATTGGTAGTGATTTCGTGTTTTTTCTTTTGCAGAAAAATCGAGAAAAATATGGAAAAGAGATTTGGCTGAAGATTACAGAAATGAGAGAAAGAGAAACAATTATAATTAATAGATTTTTGTAACTAACTAAAATTTAATTTATTAAAATTAATTAATTAATCTAATTTATTTTTTCATACCCAATTTATCTTTAGTAACCACGGATTTACTACTAAAATAGTAAACACCGTAACCGCTCTTATTGATAGTTACATTTTCCTATCCCTACTTTCCCTTTTCCCTATCTCTGATTCTCCTTTTCCAACAGCCTCTTTGCCTTCCGCCGGCACAATTCCTCCGGCGAACTCCCTCTGATGGACTCGTTCCAGACACCTAGCAAAAAAAGTACTAGGTTGAACATGCATAATATTTGTGTAATTCAGTCCTCAGTTCCATAATTTGCAAGCTGACAATTCAGGATCCATCGAACGATATACAAAGTTTACTATGCCTTTATTTTTCCTACCCAAACAATTTACTCGGACAATCAGAGGCCATAGAGAGCGGAGAACTTCACAATTTACAAATAGAGATCTTCATCTATACCCAAACATCCCGTTGTGGAACTGATAGAGAGATGTATTCTTCTATAACATTCACATGATTGTTCATTGGATGCTCATCCTGTAACTGCATTCGCCTTCTTCCTCGAACTCAGAGTCTGAAATGCTCCAGGGCAGAGATCCCATTAAGCCCTTTTGCATAATAATGTTCGAGGAATTCCTTTATGGTAGTTCCCCTGAAAACCGGTGGATTCCCGTCCGAAATCAGCTCCTTAAGCGGGCCATAAACTCTGGAGGATTTCTCAGGAAGCGGCTGCGGTCTCAAGAAACAGGCCACTGAAACCCTGGGGCCAATTGATTTGGCAACTACTCTGTGCTGAGAGCTTTTGAATTCCTCATTAGAGATCAACTGCATGTTCATTGCCAAAAGAATTTGAGTATGAAAACCAGTTAGTTTTATACTAAGACTTCAAATCAAGCACCGCCGCGTCCAGATTTTTTTACCTGCAACAAGTCTCCCAGATTTATAACAAGAGCATTTTTTGTGGGCTTCACATCAACCCACTGATCATCATCACAAAGGACCTGAAGACCACCAGTTTGGTCTTGCAGAAGCACGGTAAGAAAGCTGCTGTCGGAATGACTGCTACTTCCTATTGTCAAATCAGGTTCAGGACAAGCCGGATAGTAATGACCCAGAAGCAGCAATCCTTCCAAGCAACCTATATTGTTAAGGTAATCAGAGTTCAATCCCAATGCTTCAGAAACCAATTCAAGCAGCTTCCTTGCCAATCCCATCACTTCGTTCGAGTAATCAACCATCGTCTCCCTAATCCAAAACAAAATTTTGAATAGAGATTCGCAAGATTAGTCTTACAGTCCTACCACTCACAACAACTCGAATTGACAGAAGACAGTTGATGATGAGATGTTAGAAATTTATGACAAGTTTAATTTCCAAAATGAAAAATGAATGTTTATAACGCACCCGCAGATTTGAGGGAGTTGTTGAGGGTTTGGCGGGCGTGGGGCCATGACACAAGCTATGGTGTCCCTCCAGTTAGCCGCCGGCGACTGATACAAATCGAAATTGGAGTGGTAGGTGAACGTCTTGTTGAAGAAGTCCCTGGAGTAGAACCCTTTCTTCACTTGAGCATCTTGTTCGTGGAAATTCTTCACTCCTTCAATGGTCTTATCCAGAATGGCTGTGGGTATCCCGTGATTGATGACCTGGAAAAACCCACATCTCCGGCAGGCGTGTCTTACTTGCACGATCACCTGGCGGCGGACATTTGGGTCTCCGTCGATACCTTGCAAGTCAACGGTCGGGATGGCCGGCAGCTCCGAGACAGGGTCGTCCCCTGAAGTTGATTTGATGGAAGCTGCGATGTCTTGTGGGTGGAGGAATATCGGCGGGACTGTCGTGATTCCAGCGTCTACGAGGCCCTTGACGCCGGTTTTTGTGTCGTCGAAGGCCTTCAGTGCAGCTTTCCGGTCGAAATCGGAGCCACGAGATCCGATCTGGCTTGCCATACTCTGTTTTTTGGATGTGGAATACCAGGCAACCAGCGACAGAGGAAATAGAAGTTGGGGCGGCAAATGCAAGTTGGAGCCTTTTTCCCGGTTTTAACATTAAAGTTTTGACTGCCTTACAAAAGTAAAATCAAGGAGGTAACTGTGCATGTGTTCTTTCCAATTATGGTGAAGAATGTGACAGGGGGTTTAAGTGATGTAGGAACTGTACGTGGACATTTATGAGAATGAGGGAGATCCGACTATTTTGAGTAGCAATAGTGATTAGCTTTCCATTTGCACTTGGCTTGAGCATTGTGAAGCCACTTTCGCAACAACCAGCCAACCTACCTAGCTGTGGATAATATGAAATGGAAACTAGTTTTATTCTCATGATAGGTAGGGGTGGCAATTAGTATCAAATTCAATTCTGAAAATATCCAAATATTCCAATTCATTTCATTTCAATTCATATCAACTAGTTTTATATTTTACTTTTTTTTTATCTAAAGTTTTATTTTTTTGACAAAAATAATTATTGGAAAATTACATTTAGGTACCTAAATTTTTTATTTATGACATTTTAGTATCTAAACTTTTCACAATTTACATAATGGTCTAAGACTTGGATGTCATTTGGATTCATAGATCAATCCACCAACCCATTTGATCCAATTCATCAATCCACATTTGATCCACCAATCGAATTCACCAATTCATGAATCCAAGCCACCACTATCCAAGCTTCAATATTAGTTTGGACATGTTAAGATAGGTTGCTTGGGTATTTACCCTAAACAAACTCATTTGTATGCCACCACTATCCAAGCCATCTTGATTCTTGAACTTGATATACGAGCACACTGGTTGTTCATCGAATTCACTTTGATTTTATACTTTTGTGATTCACATTGTCATGTAAAAGCTACTATTTCCTTGAAAGTACATCGATTTTCCTTTCATAATTATATTCATTATCGAATATGAAGTATTGAAATAGGTACAAGTACCTCACTGGATCCATGTAACTAATTAACTCAAATATTCAATCGAAATTATTGCAGTATGTCCAATACCTACAATACTTAATCAAAAGGTTCATTTTTTGTTTAACTCTCAACATATTAACCTCAAATTAAGACACGATATCTCTTCGACATTAACAAATAAATACATTTTGTAACAACCAGTCGCAGAGCAGTGGCGAATCAAAGATTCATTTTTTTAAAAAATCTAACCATAATCACCTCAAATTATGACACTACATCTCTTTGATACTAATTGAAATACATTTTAGTATTTTACAACGACCCGCCACATGATATAGCGCGAGTCAAATATGTAGAGTACAAATATACAGACGATCGTGAAAATCGACAAAGGGAAAAAGATCCGAACTCAATTCCTAATCAAGATAGACCGACAAGACTTTCCATCAACGGCAACAATTATATAGGTAGCGAGCACGATTAATTAGTTGATGGCGGGCGGGGCGGAGGTGAAAAGGTAATTCAGGACGGTAGGTGGCAGCGATCTTCGCGGTTGAGATGGTCACAGTGGTTTTGTCGGGGTTTGACGCCGTCGAGGCAGTAGTAAAAACCTTGTTCGCCGCCACACTTGGTGGCTGGTACGTTGTTCGTCTTCAGCGCAGCGAAGGCGCCCCCCAAGGTATTCACAGCCAGCATCTCCACTACTCCTTCTTCCACCAAGCTGCTGCTGCTGCTGCTGCTGTTGTGGCGCTCCGCCGCAGTGCTGAATCCGCACGCGCCGTTGACAATTAGCAGCAGCAGCATCAGCATCGTCATGGTATTGTGATGCATCGTCGGCGGCGATGATTGATTAATTGCAGCCTCCTTTTTTTTAGGTGGGTGGTGTAGCTTAGAGATAAGGTTTTTAGGCGATATTTTATTGAGAGATATTGGATTGGGTATTATATAACGGAGGTGCGTACGTGAGAGAGAGGGGGGCGGCGGCCTGTAGCAAGTGGGGAGGAGGAGGAAGATAAGACTACCCTACAACAACAGGCATATGAATGGTGGACAAGCCCTCCATGAAAGTTTAGCTACAATAATGATTATCGTGTCCAAATAATTAATGGTTTTCTCTTCTCTCGATCTGTTGTTTGTCGCGTACTAGAGCTTTGATGAGATAGCTAGAGATCTCACGAACTAGTAACTAGTAACTAATTAACTACTGCACGGAAGATGTATCTTAGGGCTTGATCATCTTTAACAGGTAAAATATCTTGGATACCAGTTAAATTAGAATAGGGCATCGGGTCCCACTCATCTCTATAAATTGGGCATCCGTCCATATTTCCGTCAGTTTGACTAACGGTCTAAATACATTAATAATTTTTTTGGCACATCTCCTCTTGGGATGAATTACGGGTTAGGCGACCATTGGCCCTTCTAATCTATAGCTGGTTCTGTATTGATTAACTTGCTTTTGAACCTCTTATCCTTCATGCAATTGGTCCTCTGGTCCAATCTAATATTTGCCGTTTACAATATTTTGCTCGAAAAATCACGTAAAACTATACAAAAGACATAAAAACACGCATAAGATCTATCAAATGCTGATTGGAACAATATGAAGTAATTCTAAGGTAAAAATCACTAAAAACATACTAAAAAGGATGTAAATTGTGTCTAGGATATAAAAATAGTATAATTTACATGTTTTCAAATGCTTTAAACTCCGCTTATTCTCACAAAGATAAAAATATTAATATATATAAAGAAGAAGTGAGGTTACTGTTGCCTAATAATTATATATATATTAAACCTCACTTCTTATTTATATATATATTATAACTTAGTATCTCACTTCTTCTTAATACATATTAAACCTCACTTCTTCTTACATTTTACATTTTGATACCCCAAATTTAACTAAATTATAACTTAGTCACTATAATGTATATTTTACATTTTAATACCCAAATTTAATTTTAATGTAAAATCATTGAACAATTATGTTTTGGTATCTAAATTTTATGAGATTTTCGTACCTACAATTTTTTAAATTTACATATTGGTCTCAATGTTTAGATTTCACTTGAATTCATGAGTCCAATCCACCAATCATTTTGAACCAATCCATGAATCCAATCCACCATAACATAAAAGTATAAATTTAGTTTGTACCATACAATATGTTGTATCACTTAACAGTAGGAGAAGATTTGACCATTTTATATTTGCTCATTATGTGAAACATAAAATAAATGATAAAAGAGACGACTCTAAAATATTGCAAAAGTTAATTTATAAAGTACATTTACGGGGTACTAAACAAACTTCTACTAACTACATGTAACAAAATATGCGACATCTACATAAGCAAGTGTCAATAAATTGCTACGGTGAAAGGAGTTGAACGTTGTATTGACGGCCTACTAAAAGAATTGGTCAAAACCTTTCCATCATCTACATACTCTTCGTTTCATTTTTCACTCGCCTTCCATAACCCTTTCTTTATTTCTTTCTTTGCCTTCTTCGTCCAACCCTAATTAGTATAATATAATTTTTATGCTAACTAATCACAAGTATGAACGAGTCCATATGCACGACTGACCAAGATTCTAGAGAATTAATAATTGAACCATGAACCACTAACTTTTTCAGTTCAATGTCGAGTCCAATTAAATGAAAATATATATGGTTATTACTTATTACAAAGTCGTCATTCTCTACTACGGGATTCGAAGGCATGAAATTTTAAGCGAGTTCCAGTTTGTATTCCTTTTACTTCTCTCTAGAGTTTTTCTTTTTTACTCGGGCTAGAATATTCAACAATTATACATGAAATATTTGGCTAGGTATCTAGACATATTAGATAAATAGTTATCATTTTCTATAAAAAAGTAAATAATTATCATCTTAAATACATCACTATAAAAGAAATTAAGCCTCAACTATGCAAATTATAGTTCAGTACCTAAATATAATAGATATTTAGATTTATAACCTATATTTATTTTTTTGGCATATAGTCCTCAAAATATTGATGGGACATTACCTTTTAGTACCTATAATTTTTGTGTATTACATTTTGGTACTTAAACTTTTGAAGTTCTATAAATAGGTCTAATTTTTGTTTGTGTAAATAAAACACCCTCGAATAAATGGATATTCATACCCAACTCATACACATTTAGGTTATGTAAGTAAATATCCATACCCTACGCAAACCCATTTACAAACTTTTAAACTCATATATACGTCACTCATACCCTATCCATAATCAATGGGTCTACTTGGGATTAAGTAAATACGGAAATACCATTTATTAGCCAAATTAAAAAAAAAGGATGTTGGTCGCCATATTTCTCAGTCAATATTACTAAAACTGCTAACAAAAAATTAATTTTAGACTAATAATACTAACAAAACACTACAACGGACCACATAATACATGTCCATATGCCATCTATGCCCACGACAAGGCGCGCCATCGCCACCTAGTTTACCACTTAAACTGAGTTCACATACTCTTTAGTCTTTATCATGTTTGCATTTATCTATAGAAGAAATCTTTGTTTACATGTACCAAAAAGTAGAGTTGCCTCGTGCACTAGCATAGTTTAAATTAAATGACAAAAGGATCCGGCTGATTCCCAAAATCAGGATACGATCGATCTCTATATATGATGTAGAAGATGGACACACAACAACAATTGCCCTTTCTTTCGTAACCACCAATGCCAATGCCATATACAAACGATACCTTATTAGCAGATTTGTTAAAAAATAACAAACTCAGAGAAACGTACTCACATATCCCAACTCCACGCCACTGCTATATATATATATGCATGTGTACGGTACGATCTACATCAAACAAACATCATATCGATATACGGCGATGATGATGATGATGATATGCAGGGAGAGGAGAATGTTGGCAGTGGCTGTTGCTACGTGTAAAGTAGTGATAGTACTTGGAGCTCTGCTGCTGCAGATTGCTCGATCTGAATCACCGGTTGAGCGGTCCGACCACAAGTGCGGCCAATACCCCGATGGCAAATGGGCTCATTGCGGCCGGGGACGATGTTGCAGTACCAATTTCTACTGCGGCGACAATTGGGAGCACTGTGACGGTATTTATTGTTGGTACCAATGTCATCAGGTTCCTTATCCTCCGAGAAGTGATCATGAAGTAGCTCATGAAACGGCAGGAGGAGAAGTACTCGTCGCACCTCTTCCACTTAACGATACGCTTCATAACCGCTATTTGAATGGCGATCATGATCTCGTGGAAGTGCGGCCCGCCAATGCTTCTTCTTCTTCTTCTTCTTCTTCTTTCTCGTCACCGTTATCATCATGTGCAGCTTCTCTCTCCCGCCTGCCTCTAGCTTCTCGTCACAAGTATCCTTTTGCTGCTCTACCTGCTCCCCGGTCTCAAAACAATAATGCAACTGCTACTCACTGCGGACGTTGTTTGAAGGTAAATGGTTAAACTCGATCGTTATACCATTCTCTCGATAACATATCCATAAACTATCGTTTCTCATTTACTACGTATGTGTTTTATGGACTAACTGGATTTTGTACATATATATAATACAGGTTACAAGTTTTGGAGTTGAAGGGCTTCCTAATCAAGTGAAGGTCCGCATTGCTCATGAGCATACCAATCAGGGACTTGAATTGGATTTCAACACTTTCAAACAACTCGATACAGATAGTAGGGGAATTACTAAAGGTCGTATCTTCGTAAAGTATCAGTTTGACAGTTGTTAAAAGACATGTACTTGTACGTTTGTGTACAAGTACTCATAAAATACTTATTATAAAAGAATCTACTCATAAAATAAAAGCCAATAATAAGATAAAAAATACATGAACTATATTTACAGTTTACTTGTCTGGTTGTAATATCAATACATAGATGAAAGTATGATAAGAGAATCTCAATAAAATCGTTTGTTTTTGCTTTTCGTTGGTTTAATAGGAATGGAGATAAAACATATATAATCAAAATCTATAAATGACGAAAGTTTCTTCAAAAAATTATTTATAAAGTTTTGCAAACTGATCCAAAAATGAACCAGTCCAAAGTTAGGAGTTACCATGTCACCTTTGTTAAGAATTTACTTAAAATATATAATTCTCTAGAACTCATCTTATCATATTATCAAAGATTTGCAGAAACATCTGGAATCATGTTGTTGATCATCTCAATCTTAGTGCGAAAATCGAAGGACGATTTATGACTTGACGATATTGGCAATAGCACGATCCGAGAGGTACTGTGACCTTCCTCAACAAAGTCTTCTTAGTCCACTATGGGAAATTTCTGTTCTTCCTGATGCGGAGAAGAAGAGAGTTGGTTTTTGGTCTTGTTGTATTGGGGGACCACAAGTCACAACCTCAATCTCCTATGGGTTCTCATAAATGATAAAACCCAAGGTGATCAAGTATTGGGTTTCCACCCATTGGACCCATAATGGGTTTAAGTAGTCATGAGCTCCAAGCATTGACCACCTGTAGTTAGGCCATCAAAATCAAATAGCTAATATATGTGTTGTGAATTGATAACCCACTTAAGATAGGAAATAAAATTCCTGACATTCTCCCACTTGGTCGGGTTGTTGAATTGCACAAACACATATATTACAAAATTCTTTAGGCGCGCAATCATATGTTATTTTGTACAATGACTACTCCTTAACAATCTGGTCCACCTCATGTATCAACTGAGGAACCAACGCGGCTTTAATCACGATATGATAATGATTAAACCACCATGATCACCACACCAATACACTCAATGACATAGATAAAATATGGATGAGTGGCATGAAAATTTCATGCAATGTGATCGTGAACGTGCCTCGCGTATCAGATCTGTGATTTTTTTTAGATTTCATATCTGATTTTTTTTTTATTGTGTTAGTGACACGCCAAAACACAACACCAAACTGCGACCAAGTGTAATCGCAGTCCGGGAATGCAGTAACAGGCAAGTTCAATTATCAACCCGGGGTCTAAATCTACTGCTTACTCCGTGATTCTCTATTATCTAGCAAACTAGTTCGAGTGATTGTTGTTAAAAGCAAAAGCAACAAGAAAGCAGTAAATTGTTCGGTTTTCAAAGTCAGGAAAGAGTCACTCGGGATTGAGTCCCCCTAGCCCCTTAGTTAGGTTCAATTGTAATTCCCTGGGTTGATTTACTGTTGATTAGACTGCGGAAGATCCGACAGTAGCTTGGAATCTCTTAAGCTGACCAAGCCCTCTCAGTCTAACTACCCGGCAGACGACTAGTCTTCACCGGGATAGAAAGCTGAGGCTATGAACACAGAACTCCACTACTGGAATTGAATTCCAGTACAAAGCAGTAAACTGGCTAACTCTCGTATAGCCAATCTCCTACTATCGAATGAAGAGGCTCTAACAACCTAATCAGATTCTATCTATCTCAGGTTGCAGCAGAAATTGAGAAAAGCTGATCAGACTCCAATCAATTCAATAAACATGCATCATTCGATTAAAATCAAACAGTAATATCATCCCAAGTCATTACAATCAAATCCCTAACAGAAGGAACTAGGGTTCTTCATACCCAAGTGAGAGAAGGGTTCTACTCCCTAGAGAGAGAAGAGAAAACAGTAATCGGATTAGTCATACTCATAACGATGAGGAAAATCTGCTCCGGGACGATGATTTCCACTCCTATGACGATCTCCAAGCTCGATTCGATGAAATCCAGCTCTAAGACAGCTTCTAGGATGTGTTCTTCGTACTTTCTCTCTCTAGGGCTCTGTTTTTGCTCTGAAAACACGATTCTCCCACTTTTGGCTCGGAATAGGCTCTAAAACCAGGATTTCCCGACTCGCACGGCCAGGCCGCACGGCCGTGCAGATCACCCACTTGGCCGTGCGGCTCAAAACGCGGCGTATGGTTTAGTTCGATCTTAGGCTTCTCACACGGCCAGGGTGCACGGCTGTGCAGGGTTTCCATCCAGCCCGTGCTCGGCCTCGGCAAAAATCACACGGCCAGGGTTGCACTTTGCACGGCCGTGTCAAGTGATGGGTTGCCCGTGCGTGCTCTCGCATAATCCCGCACGGCATGGCTTGGCCTTCGCACGGCCGTGCGATGCCATGGTCTGCCCGTGCAGCTTCATTGAAACCTCGCCATTCGTCCGATCTTCGTCCAATCGACCCCAGACTCGCTCCTAAGCCTTCATTCACGTACTAGGACCTGAAATATCACAAACAAGCACAACCTAGCGTGAAATCGGCCTAAAACACGAGAATCAATACCTCAAACGGTGTAAGAACGGGGGTAAAAACATGTGTAAATGACGGTCTATCAAACTCCCCCACACTTAACCGTTTGCTTGTCCCCAAGCAAACCAAGTCAGACACCAGGTAAGCTTACATATTTCAATCAACCAACATTGGGGACAAGTCATAAAGGCACAGAACACGTGAATCGCACTGGTTTTCAAACATCAATACATGAACAACCTCAATAACAACCTGGACGACCACCACAAAGGACATTCGAGTGCAGCAAATCGAGTAAAGGAAGAGTCTCCCTTTTGTTCACTGGCCAACCTAGACTTGATTCAACCACTTACTCAAAACAGTCAACTCATGCATCCAACTCAAGACATCAGAATAGAGACCGAGCAATCTAGGTTTTCACCGGGGTACAAGAGCATATATAAAATGAAAATGAATCACTCACTCTCGACCAGTGGGGTCAGGACAATTTGATGCGAAAGATGCGCATGCTATTTCTCTCAATCCCTATCATCTCTTCACCATGATGGCAGCCTCTAAATGCTAGAGTTCACATATGGGGTGTCACCACTAACTAATCAGGAGGTCTTAGACACAGGTTCAAATGACTGGCTAGGGTCTTGGACATGGGGAAAAGGCCTTTTAGGTGGTGGAAGTATTCATAGCAAAAGGTTCCACATTTTCCAAACACACACTCACAGTCAAACAAACCGGTATTTTCTTTCTGCTATTCTGCATTACTCAATATCTCAAGAACACAAGAGCGAAGGAGGCATAAACATCAGCATTTCCAAGCCAGACTGCTAAGAAACACTACTTAATGGGCATTATTCAGATTTTTGGTAGTGGCTCTCTTTTGCTTTCAATTTTTCTTTGTTTTTCTTTCATTTTCCTTTTCATTTCTTAAGAGAGCCACCAATCCTGCACAAATTTCAAACACCTCCCCAACTTTTAAGCACTACCTCCAACACTCACATAACCTTTAGCAGAAACAGCAGAGAATATGTAAAAACCACTCTGTGGAACCTTCTAAAAGATGCAACAAGGATGATTTTTTTCATTATAGACCAAAAGAAAGGATAACACACGGCTCAAAGGGGCTAACTAGGGGATATGACACATCAGGACAGTCAGTTTTGGGCGTGGGCTAATCCTATGCCCCCATCATCTTAGCTAGTGACAACGTGAATGCTACACATCATGGAAGAGGGATCTATCGCACAAGAAAGAAACGAGCAGACTCAAATCTCACATGGCTACCTATATGCTCTATCTCACATTCTGATACCCTGAACTAGATGCATAAACGACTGTCAAGAACACGTAATCAGATCAAGTCACAGTTGGCAAGCAAACAGTTGAAAAACTGAACCCCTACATCGTTCTACTGCACATCTCAGTCCTCATCATAGGTTGTCCTAGTCGCAAACAAGTTGTCATGCATTAATCGAAAACCAATCAATTCATCCATCAAAACACAGTGCCAATATGATCAAACAGCAGTACTTGGAGCCCTCAAATCGTAAGATTCGGACAGCGGACTAGGCTCCAAGCACCCAAATAAATATTCCAACCGATACAAAGCACCCCCCCACACTTAAGCACGACATTGCCCTCAATGGAGTAGAGGGAAAGATAAGGGGAACGATGTTACCGGATTGGAACACTGCTGGGGGACTGGAAGTGGACCAGTCAGCGAGAAACAAACGGGAGAGTGGACAATGCCGCACAAATCGAACACCAGAAACACACTAGCACACTGTGCGTTAGGGATAAGTGTTAGCCCAGACGGCTACATCAAACCACAAAGGAAAACCAAAAAACAAAAACAAACGACACTAAGTTCAAGCTCCGCACACATGGAGCAAACACACAAAAGTCTAAAACGAAAAAGAAAACACAGTGAGACGGGCAACGAGTACAGCAGCGCCATCGATGTCGTTCATGAACGCGTCATCATCAGCAGCGCCAGCAGCACCATCATCACCGTCAGGTGGGGCATGTGGAGGGGAGTCATCCCAGGGAGTCCTCCAGACAGGCTGCTCGCCCGGGAGCAGCTGGAGCAGGTGCTGCTGAACCTCCTGCATGCGCCGTGAACGGCGCTTCTCCCGCTCGATGTGGGCGAGAGTCACGCCCTGCTGAGTCTGGATCATGTTCAGCCGCTCGTCATAAGCAGCCATCCTGTTCCGGTACTCGGCCTGGTCTGCCGCGTACTGCTGATGGAACTGCATCTGCTGGTCGAGGATCAGCTGGTTCTGGATCCGCAGCTTCTCGAACTGATGAGAGAAGTAATCCTGGCCCTGGAAAGCGGAGCTGCCACCGCCATACTCGAAGGTGGTGGGGTGGGGGGCAGCATCAGCAGCATCCACCTCCTCGGGAGCCACCTCATCAGCAGCCTCCCCCTCCTGGCCCTGTGGTTGGGCCTCTGGCTCGGGCTCCGTGGGGATCGGAGGTTCCGGAAACCCATCGACCCACAGAACACTGTTCCTCTCCCGCATCAGCTGCATCTTCCCGATCGTCTTGCTGCCAAAGATGAGGGTGTCCCCCTCCTCGGTGCACCCCTGCAGTGAAAG